GCACCTGTTTGAACTCGTTACCTGTATAAAAGACACCTGTCCACACACTCAATCAAACAGACTCCAACCTCTCCACAATGGCCAAGACCAGAGAGCTGTGTAAGGACATCAGGGATACAATTGTAGAACTGCACAAGGCTGCGATGGGCTACAGGACAATAGGCAAGCAGCTTGGTGAGAAGGCAACAACTGTTGGTGCAATTATTAGAAAATGGAAGAAGTTCAAGATGACGGTCAATCACCCTCGGTCTGGGGCTCCATGCAAGATCTCACCTCGTGGGGCATCCATGATCATGAGGAAGGTGAGGGATCAGCCCAGAACTACACGGCAGGACCTGGTCAATGACCTGAAGAGAGCTGAGACCACAGTCTCAAAGAAAACCATTAGTAACACACTACGCTGTCATGGATTAAAATCCTGCAGCGCACGCAAGGTCCCCCTGCTCAAGCCAGCGCATGTCCAGGCCCGTCTGAAGTTTGCCAATGACCATCTGGATGATCCAGAGGAGGAATGGGAGAAGGTCATGTGGTCTGATGAGACAAAAATAGAGCTTTTTGGTCTAAACTCCACTCGCCGTGTTTGGAGGAAGAAGAAGGATGAGTACAATCCCAAGAACACCATCCCAACCGTGAAGCATGGAGGTGGAAACATCATTCTTTGGGGATGCTTTTCTGCAAAGGGGACAGGACGACTGCACCGTATTGAGGGGAGGATGGATGGGGCCATGTATCGCGAGATCTTGGCCAACAACCTCCTTCCCTCAGTAAGAGCATTGAAGATGGGTCGTGGCTGGGTCTTCCAGCATGACAACGACCCGAAACACACAGCCAGGGCAACTAAGGAGTGGCTCTGTAAGAAGCATCTCAAGGACCTGGAGTGGCCTAGCCAGTCTCCAGACCTGAACCCAATAGAAAATCTTTGGAGGGAGCTGAAAGTCCGTATTGCCCAGCGACAGCCCCGAAACCCGAAGGATCTGGAGAAGGTCTGTATGGAGGAGTGGGCCAAAATCCCTTCTGCAGTGTGTGCAAACCTGGTCAAGACCTACAGGAAACGTATGATCTCTGTAATTGCAAACAAAGGTTTCTGTACCAAATATTAAGTTCTGCTTTTCTGATGTATGAAATACTTATGTCATGCAATAAAATGCAAATTAATTACTTAAAAATCATACAATGTGATTTTCTGGATTTTTGTTTTAGATTCCGTCTCTCACAGTTGAAGTGTACCTATGATAAAAATGACAGACCTCTACATGCTTTGTAACTAGGAAAACCTGCAAAATCGGCAGTGTATCAAATACTTGTTCTCCCCACTGTAGGTGTTCCTTTTGTCCAGGTGGGAAAGGGCAGTGTGGAGTGCGATTGAGATTGCGTCATCTATGGATCTGTTTGGGCGGTATGCGAATTGGAGTGGGTCTAGGTTTTCCGATATGATGGTGTTGATGTGAGCCATGACCAGCCTTTCAAAGCACTTCATGGCTACCGATGTGAGTACTACGGGGCGGTAATCATTTAGGCAGGTTACCTTAGCTTTCCTGGGCACAGGGACTATGGTGGTCTGTTTGAAACATGTAGGTATTACAGACTCGGTCAGGGAGATGTTGAAATTGTCAGTGAAGTCACTTGCCAGTTGGTCCGCGCATGCTTTGATTACACGTCCTGGTAATCCATCTGGCCCCACGGCTTTGTGAACGTTGACCTGTTTAAAGGTCTTGCTCACATCGGCTACGGAGAGCGTGATCACACAGTCGTCCGGAACAACTGGTGCTCTCATGCATGTTTCAGTGTTGCTTGCCTCGAAGCGAGCATAAAAGGCATTTAGCTCGTCTGGTAGGCTCGCGTCACTGGGCAGCTCGCGGCTGGGTTTCCCTTTGTAGTCCGTAATAGTTTTCAAGCCCTGCCACATCCGACGAGCGTCAGAGCCGGTGTAGTAGGATTCAATCTTAGTCCTGTATTGACGCTTTGCCTGTTTGATGGTTCGTCTGAGGGCATAGCGGGATTTCTTATAATCGTCCGGATTAGTGTCCCGCTCCTTGAAAGCGGCAGCTCTAGCCTTTAGCTCAGTGCGGATGTTGCTGTAATCCATGGCTTCTGGTTGGGAAATGTACGTACGGTCACTGTGGGGACGACGTCGTCGATGCACTTATTGATGAAGCCGGTGACTGAGATGGTATACTCCTCAATGCCATTGGATGAATCCCGTAACAAATTCCAGTCTGTGTTTGCAAAACAGTCCTGTAGCGTAGCATCCGTGTCATCTGACCACTTCCGCATTGAGCGAGTCACTGGTACTTCCTGCTTTAGTTTTTGCTTGTAAGCAGGAATCAGGAGGATAGAAATATGGTCAGATTTGCCAAATGGAGGGCTAGGGAGAGCTTTGTATGCGTCTCTGTGTGGAGTAAAGGTGGTCTAGAGTTTTTTTTCTTATAAATAGCACCACCGACTGTTTCCTTGTTGAGATTCAATTGGCACATGCGCATTTGCGCTGAGTTGCTATCATAAAACAACATCAATGAACAAATAGTCGGTGGTTGTATTTCATTAACATTTTTTATAGAAAAACAAACAAACAAAGGCACGCAACTACAGAGGACAAACAAAGGTATAAGGTCGGCGTTTCATAATTTTAATTTTTTTAAGTATTGATCTTGGGTGAATTGATGTAGTCAGAGCTAGATTCCACAAAGCCTGGTCTCGGCTCCACTCCGTTGGTGAAGTTCATCAGAAACTTCCTTCACCATGGAGTGGGGTTTAGTCCACTAGCTAGCTTGGCTAGTGGGCTGATGTCGAAAGCACACATTCGGTGTTACATGCCTCAATGATCGAATTTAACATTCATATGAAAGTCATTTGTTGAAAATAATTTGTTGAATAAATAAACGTTATACTCACATTTCATGAAGTTGTTTTTTATTATTCTAGCTAGACATTTTTCTCTCAAGAAATAGCTTAATGAGAATGCCGTGCAATGCAGAGTCTGCATGTCACGTGACACAAAGATTATCCCAATGAATGGAGATAGCCGATTCCCATCTGAACCCACATTTGTGGATTGTAATACATTGACAGGTGGAAAACATTTCACTAAATTCTGTAAGCACAAGCACTTTTTGAATGCGCAAATGTACATTCCACAGTTGTAAATGTTGAGATTTCTGAACATTTACTCACAAATCGTTCTACATTTATTCAAATTGTAGTTTTATTTGTGAGCTATGTTGAATATATTTACAGATCATGGGTTTATTTGTTATTTATGGTGAATATTTGTGAAAGATTTTTACATATTCACGGATTATGGTTTAGTTTGTAATATTTTTACATATTCACGGATTATTCTTTAATTGGTGAAACATTTTTATATAATTTCAGATTATGGTTTTATTTATGAAATATTGTGATATATTCACAGATCATAGTTTTATTTGTGAGTTATGTTCAATATACACACAAATCGGGGTAGACACACTTACAGAATAAAGAAGCAAATCTCACTCCATAGAAATACATGAAAACACAATAACATTGACGTAAAGTCCCCTGCCAACTAATATCAGCACTTTTATATTTCGTTTAGGAGAGTACAGTACAATATAGTACAGTACAGCACAATACTGTACAGTGAGTAGAGGACAGTAGAGTACAGTCCGATACAGTACAGTAAAGAAAAATAGAGTATTCTACTGTACTGTACTGAACTATAATCTACTGTACTGTACTCTACGACACTGTACTGTAATGAGCTCTACTGTACTCTGCTGTGCGGTGTTGTATTGTACTACACTGTACTCTACTGTGCTCTGCTGTGCTGCGCTGTGATGTCTAAACTTGTGAAACATGAGGAGAATGACATTCATATCCATAATTATGCATTTCTGTGTAGTACTGATCAGGGACCCATGATGTAATTTCGTTACTGTAATTCTGTTACCGTAATTTTGTTACTAGGTGTAAATCCACTTCACTTACTGTAGTTCAATAACCAAAATATATTTTTTCAAACTCAAGGTGCCTTGCCATAGCTGACACCCCATTCTTTCTGCAGACATTTTTGAATCTTAATTCAGAGGAGATACAGTATATAAGAGTTTTTGGAAAACATGTTCGCAGAAAAACCTGAGGGAGATTTTACCGTAATTCCATTATCAAAGTTTGCATCGGCACAGTTCTACCACTAAATTAGTTTTAGTACATTTTTCTGTGCAAATTGTTAAAAGTAGTCATTTTGCATAGAATTGTATGGTTTGTTCAACTTTGAAATCAATGGTTTTTGTTTGGCATGAGTCCAAGCGTAATTTCATTACTGTGGAATTGTCCCTGTATTGTTCAGTGTTTGATCATTCTCGGTAGTGAACATCATATTGTTTTATTGTTCCCTCTTATGTCGCTTTTCAATAATATAGGCAGATATTCTGAAAGTCTGGCTTCTAATTTATTCATCACGTGATCATTTTGACCTGAAAACGAAAACCCATATCCAGGTTCATTTTAACTGACTGCAGTTCAAAATTCAAAAAGTCACTTGCACATCTGAGCTATCTTTTTGCAGGTGCATGGTAGCAAAGAGATAACTTAAAAGAAAAGAGCAACCTGCACACTGCTCTTGCTAGTATCACTGTTTTTTATTGAAGCTTACGTGTCGGCCTAACTGAGTGCAGTTAGCATTGTTTCCATTATCATATCTTGTTCATATGAACTTGGTCCATGTGAACATTATTGGTGGTTTGGTACAATGGAGAGATGGTAAAATGCTCTGCCACCACTGATAGGGTTAAGGGCTTGTGTAACTAGGCTATGTATTTTTGCTGATAACACATTAACCTTTGATTGTCTCTGTGGTCAGGGGAGCGTTGTTTATATGTGCAGTGACAGTACCGGAACCACTGAGGAACCTCTGTAGGTAACAGAGAGGATTAGCATTAGTTGTATTGCAGCCTGTCAGATTGTCACCGAGTTGAAACATTTGTCTGTCACGGTAGACTGAACACCTTGCGTAGGATATGGCTGACAAGCTCTTTGGCTTACAGAGAAGGTAAGACATGCACTTGTGACCTGAGCAGTGATAGCACAGCCATTACCCTCTGTAGAGACTGAACTTTGGCTGACTGCTGTGAAGGTCCAATGCTGCTGTTTCTCACTGTTCTGGGTTTGGTCCGATGTTGGTGAACTTGCTTGCTGGATGGGAATGTTCTTCTAGAAGTCCTACGTCCTAATTTACCGGGACCTACTTTACATGATGCATAGAGTTGTCCCAACACAGAAATTAGTGATTGCCAGTTGCTTGACGTTTTACTTGAGTTGTACGTAGGTTACAACATGAAATATTGAGAAAAAGCGTGCAGCATTAATGCTTTTGTGCTCTTGGACAACCACTTGTCTGTTTTCTCTTTCCAGGCCTAGCATGTCTCAACCACATCTGGTGAAGAAGGGTCGTGAGCACCGAAAAATTGAACTGCAAAGAGACTTCACCGTGGCCTCGCCGGCTGAGTTTGTCACCCGCTTCGGTGGAAACCGTGTGATAGATAAGGTAAGATATCCCTCCCTTTCTGTCTGTGCCTTTTATGGATGCGTAACAACATTTGTGTCGCTTTTGACTAAACTCCTCGTCAAGCTACGAGCAACAGACTAAGTCAACAATATAGTGTAAAAGGTGTTTGAGTTGAGTACTGTTTAATTTCTTATCTTTTTCTCTCTCCTCTCTCTCTCCTTTCTTTCTCTCTCTCAATCTCTCTCTCAATCTCTCACTCTTTTCTTTCTTTCTTTCTCTCTTTCTTTCTTTTTCTTTCTCTCTCTCTCCCACTTTTTTTCTTTCACAAGGTGCTGATAGCTAATAATGGCATAGCAGCGGTCAAATGTATGCGTTCCATCCGCCGTTGGTCCTATGAGATGTTCCGGAATGAGAGGACCATCCGTTTTGTGGTGATGGTCACACCCGAGGACCTGAAAGCCAACGCAGGTCAGTGAGACATGTTTTAGCAGGTCATCATTATCAGCTCCATTGTGCCTCTCAGCACATCTGGAGATAAAGTCGACAGCGAGTCACTCAATTACTCCAAGGAAATGCTTTCCGTGTGAGCTTCTCATGAATAACTGATGTGACTGTATGTGTGTGACGGTGTGTGACTTTTCTATAGAGTATATCAAAATGGCGGACCACTATGTACCGGTCCCCGGCGGAGCCAACAACAACAACTATGCCAACGTAGAGTTGATCGTGGACATCGCCAAGAGGATCCCTGTACAGGTCAGACGGTGCTCCTCCACCTCCGCTCTCACCCACAGGAGAATGGGTTTTTGCTGTGAAATGGGTGGAAGACTTATTAGTGTTTGTCTGAATGGATATCGCCTGTGTCTCAACTTGGCTCTGACCATACAATTACTAGAAGGGACATTACCAATTCCAAATCAAGTCACAATGTTCTATGATGGGTGGACCGGCAGCCATATTGAGTGCACCGATGAATGTTGCTGTCAAATTGGTCTGAGGGGCTTTGTTCCTTCTAGTAATTATATTTTCATGGCTCCGACTCTGATCTCTGTTTTCTTATTGTTCACAGGCAGTCTGGGTTGGGTGGGGTCACGCCTCTGAGAACCCCAAACTGCCTGAGCTCTTGGACAAGAACGGAATCTCCTTCTTAGGTACAGCCCGGCATGAAGCTGTTTGTGGATTATTGGATGGTTAACTCGCATTACAACACAAGCAGCATTCATTGTGGTGTGATGATGTAGATATGGTTTTTATTTTGTTATTTCATTTGTGCCTGTGTGTCTCAGGGCCGTCCAGTAAGGCCATGTGGGCCCTGGGTGATAAGGTGGCCTCCTCCATCGTGGCCCAGAGCGCAGACATCCCCACCCTGCCCTGGAGTGGATCAGGTGATGTACCCCCCTCCCTGCACACTTACCCCCAGACCCCTTGCATCCTAACTCCTTCCCCACACCCCCCATCTGGTATTACATAAGACTTACAGACAGTATTAGGATTCTGACTTGGTGACTGACTGTTGTGTTTTAACACTAACGGTTTTGAAGATGATTCTGTTCTATTCTATTCATAACAGCGGATTTGTCCTGAGCAAGGTCTCGTGTTATTTTCTCCTGCGTGTGCTGTAGGTCTGAGAGTAGACTGGACAGAGGAGGACCAGAGGCTCGGCCACGTGATCAGCGTGCCTCCGGAGGTCTACGTGCTCGGCTGCGTGCGTGATGTTGACGATGGACTGGCGGTAAGCATCCCCACGCCATCACCAATGCTGAAACCATAGAGATATCCTTTGTAGGCATATGACAAATAGTCACTGGAGAAATAACGGCCTTTAAGATGTCTGAAACTATGTATTTCCATGTATTGTTTCCTGAGCAAAATTAAATACTGTCCCTACTTTGCTTTCAAACCAAGGTTCATGAACAATGGAGCAAAATGAAGATGAAACGCGTTGGTTTTAACAATAAAATATTTGATTTCAAGGGTAGGGTTGCTGAAAACCTTTCATCTTCAATGTGCTTTCTCCTTAAAGGGAGCAGACAGAATTGGCTACCCGGTGGTTATCAAAGCCTCAGAAGGAGGAGGGGGCAAGGGCATACGGAAGGTGGACAATGCTGAGGACTTTGCCAGCTTCTTTAGACAGGTTTGTGTTGTCGCATTTCGCACGCACACACACATACACACACATTTTAAATACTTAATTTGAATCCACAAATTACATTAAAAAGGATTCGAACAATTCAAAGGTATTGGATAAAAGGGCACTTAAGGATACAAAAAGCACCTTCTCCACACAGCTAGGCTGCATATAACAGCTGAAACACACACACACACACACACACTGCATGGGGATGTCATGTCCAAGGACCATAATTAGCACAACTTTGTCTAATACAAATCAATGGATGGATCCATCTGCAGGTGCAGGCGGAGGTGCCCAGCTCGCCCATCTTCGTCATGCAGTTGGCCCAGCATGCCCGTCACCTGGAGGTACAGATCCTCGCCGACCAGTACGGCAACGCCATCTCCCTGTTTGGCCGAGACTGCTCCATCCAGCGGAGACACCAGAAGATCATCGAGGAGGCCCCGGCCACCATAGCATCTTCCACCACCTTTGACCACATGGAGCAGGTGAGACATAGAGGGCCTTTCCTTGACATTATGTTCTCCACTGTAATGACGATTCTCCACTTTGACATTTAGAGACTTGTTTTTCAGCCTTTTCACTATTCCATAGTTTTGTTCATAAGGGCACACAACGGAAAACATAGTCCCTCCCTATTTTAGTCAGTTATCTTCCGTTTGGTGCCTAATGAACACGAACCCCCTCTCCCTCCCCATGTCAGTATGCAGTGCGGATGGCTAAGATGGTGGGCTACGTGAGCGCAGGCACCGTGGAATACCTCTTCTCTGAGGACGGCAGCTTCCACTTCCTAGAGCTCAACCCCCGTCTGCAGGTGGAACACCCCTGCACAGAGATGATCGGGGATGTCAACCTGCCCGCCGCCCAGCTCCAGGTACGCTGCAGCCAGATGTCAGGGTTTAATCTCGTCCTTTGACTTAGTTAATGGTCGCATTCCATAATTTTTCGCAATCTCAGTAAAATTGCTATGTCATATTAATGTGGTTGTTGAGATGTTATGTTCTGAAAGCTTTAGGAACTGTGATTGGGAATAGACAATGTTAACTTGGTCAGTCTCTTTTGTTGTAGATAGCCATGGGGATCCCTCTCCACAGAATCAAAGACATCCGCATGCTTTATGGAGAGACCCCTTGGGGGGACACCACCATCAACTTTGAGGCCCCCGACTGTGTCCCCAGTCCCCGGGGACACGTCATCGCGGCCCGCATCACCAGCGAGAACCCAGACCAGGTGTGCATTCTTCATTCTACAGGGCTGGCCGGCCATATTCTTAACGAGAGATGGCATGGGTTTTGTAGGCTCACATCTGACCCATCCTCCCTCCTTGTCACTTGCAGGGCTTCAAGCCCAGCTCGGGCACAGTGCAGGAGCTCAACTTCCATAGCAGTAAGAACGTGTGGGGCTACTTCAGTGTCGGGGCTACCGGGGGGCTGCATGAGTTTGCCGACTCCCAGTTCGGCCACTGCTTCTCCTGGGGGGAGAACCGAGAGGAGGCCATTTCGTGAGTCCTTCCTTGCCTTGTTGTGTTGTAGACTAGACAATCAGTTCTTCTGATGATGAAGTCCCTATCGACCGCTAGCCCCTACTCCCTAGCCACTCCTGTAGACCTGAGAGGATATGATAGGTGGAAGCAATATGGTGACATTTCCACCTGGCCAATCAGAAGGCAAGGTGAAGGTATTATCATAGTGCTCTCAGATCTACAGGCGTGATTTGGGTGTATGGGCTAGGCTCGGATCCATTTGGAATTCTGCATGAGTTGATGGTGTGTGTGTGTTGGTGTCTTACCATACCTGGGGGGTGATAGTGGTGGTGGTTACTGTGTGGTGGCGCAGGAACATGGTGGTGGCCATGAAGGAGCTGTGTATCCGTGGGGACTTCAGGACCACAGTGGAGTACCTCATTAAGCTGCTGGAGACAGAGAGCTTCAGGAACAACGACATCGACACCGGCTGGTTGGATAATCTCATCGCAGATAAAGTTCAGGTAGAGGACCCTTGTGGAATAGAAACGTAAATCTTAAAAATGTCAATCCTGTTAGGCTACAGTTGGATAAAAACAAATCTCCAACGTGTGTGTGTTCTCCCTTAAGGCGGAGAGGCCAGACACCGTGCTGGGCGTTGTCTGCGGGTCGTTACACGTGGCGGACACCAGCTTCAGGAAGAGCATGTCCGACTTCCTGCACTCACTGGAAAGGTGGCCTACTATAAGTGTGCAATCGTTCCTTCCCCCTCAAGGCTGGAAAAGTATTGGATTGGCATAGAGTTAGATTGAGTGTTTATCTACCATATTTGTTACAACCAGTGCAATGCTTATAAATCCTTGAGGGGGAGTGAACAAGTAGACACCTCGGGGAGAAGGAAGAGAATCTGAATGTCACCCTTGTCAGTCCAATGTGTTATTGCTGTAATGTTGAACACATGTCTAAATCCAGTATGTGAAATGTCCTTCTGTAGGGGCCAGGTGCTGCCTGCAGCCAGTTTGCTCAATACTGTTGAGGTGGACCTGATCTACGAGGGGGTCAAATACTGCCTCAAGGTACGAAGACCTCACATTACACCTGTCTCATTCTCTCTCATGACTTGATTTTATCCTCTCAGGGGCTAATCCTAATTTCAATCAAATTTTCACTTAGTCATGCATTGATGTCAATAGTAGACTAAGTAAAATTCATCTCAAGTGGAAGTTAGGATTCGCCCCTCAGAGTTATCAACCAATAAGACTTCAACTTTGTTTCTGACTGACAGGTGGCTCGCCAGTCCCCCACCACGTACGTCGTCATCATGAATGGCTCGGACATTGAGATCGATGTCCACCGGCTGAGCGACGGCGGCCTCTTGCTCTCCTACAACGGCAGCAGCTACACCACCTACATGAAGGAGGATGTGGACAGGTGGGACTTCCTGTCTATCTCAAATCGGAAAGGATGGATGGATGGGCCATTAGGTCTAATCTTTCTCCATCATGAACGTATGCATTTGTAACCCTCTAGCTACCGGATCACTGTTGGCAACAAGACGTGTGTGTTTGAGAAGGAGAAGGACCCTACAGTGCTGAGGTCGTCCTCTGCTGGTAAACTCCTGCTGTACCTGGTGGAGGACGGAGGCCATATCTGTGCAGGGAACTCGTATGCAGAGATCGAGGTGAGCGAGGATTCCATGAGAACATACTGTATGTCTACAGGTTTGCTTTTGATCATAATTAGATAATCATTACATGGGTAGTCAGTCTTGTGTGTGTGTGTGTGTGTTCGTGACTTCTGCGGTGCGTCTGCAGGTGATGAAGATGGTGATGACACTGACGGTGGTGGAGTCTGGCTGTGTCCGCTATGTGAAGAGGCATGGGGCGGTGCTGGAGCCTGGCTGTGTGGTGGCACGCATGGACCTGGACGACCCCAGCAGCATCCATCCAGCAAGTTACCCGCTCACCTACTTCAATACAACTCTATGGCTGCATCTGAACTGGCACCCTATTCCCTATATACTGCACTATATAGGGAATAGGGTGCCATTTGGGACAATACCTGTAACACAGCTATTATAGTAGGCATTCTTATCACATAAAACAATACAAATCACATAGTACTGCAATAGGTTTAAAACATACATCATGTAAATCACACGCCTTCGCATAAGCATGGACAACAATCCACCTACACAACAGTCCCATCAGTCAGCCAGTCAATAGCAGGGATGACACAGTGGTCAGTTCCACATTTGGAGGCTGTTTCTATCTGAATCTCTGTCTTCCTGTGGATTTCCTAGGTGGAGCTGAACACGGCCTCTCTCCCAGCCCAGCAGCCGCTGCCCATCGTGGGGGAGAAGCTCCATCAGGTCTTCCACATGGTCCTGGAGAACCTCGTCAAGGTCATGGACGGCTACTGTCTCACCGAGCCCTACTTCAGCAACAAGGTGAGGGCCTCCACCTACTGCAGCACTGCACGTACCAATACAGTGGCCACCACGTTCCAGGTTGACATTATTATCGTAGTCGCGCAGATTATCAGATCGCATAATGCCCCAAAGAAGTGTTTTATCTTCTCGGGAACCACGTACATTTTGTAAGATTGCTATAAAGACAAGTTGGAATGCGGGTAATTGCATGCCTTGTGCACACTGTAGAATGGGAATGTTGATTGAGCTCTGGGACAGGGGTGTGATAAGGGGGTGTGATGACAGTATGTTCCCACCACCCCTTCAGGTGAAGCAGTGGGTGGGCACCCTGATGAAGACCCTGCGGGACCCCTCGCTGCCCCTGCTGGAGCTGCAGGAGATCATGACCAGCGTGTCCAGCCGTATCCCGCCCGGTGTGGAGAAGGCCATCCGCAAGGTCATGGCCCAGTACGCCAGTAACATCACTTCGGTGCTCTGCCAGTTCCCCAGCCAGAGGGTGAGTAACTTAGCCTGGAATCCTAATTGATATGCTCCGTTTGACCATTCTTACTTCGCAAAAGTGAGTGGCCCCGCAGTACATTAGTAGCAGCTTGGTCCCCAGATCTCTTTGTGCTGTCTTGCCAACTCTTACAGTCAGGCACCATACAATCGCCACCACTTGATCAGACTTGGGACTGGGAATTGAATATGTGCACAGTGCACTGCATCCACTTCTCAGCTAATTAATTGAATTCTTCTACATTACGCCTGCTGAATTTGTTCCCCCTCCATTTCAGATTGCCTGTATCCTGGACAGCCATGCGGCCACCCTACAGAGGAAGGCTGACCGGGAAGTGTTCTTCATGAACACTCAGAGTATCGTCCAGCTGGTGCAGAGGTCCCACTTCTCTTATTTCACATCTGAATCATCACTCCATAACAGACATGACTTCAGATATATAATGTTTGAGTGGACTGTGATATGAATGTGCCGCAGGTACCGCAGTGGAATCCGGGGCTACATGAAGTCTGTGGTGCTGGATCTGCTCAAGCGTTACCTTCAGGTGGAGATGCAGTTCCAGCAAGGTGATTGGTGTTACACTGTGGATATAATCAAGACATAGACTGTATCCTGCTGTTGTATTAGTTATTTAATATTGTGGTGATACATGGTATGCCAATATTTTTCCTTTTGTGAACAGCTCACTACGACAAATGTGTGATCAACCTGAGGGAGCAGTACAAGCCTGACATGACCCCTGTGCTGGAGAGCATCTTTTCTCACGCCCAAGTCTCCAAAAAGAACATCCTGGTCACCATGCTTATCGTAAGGCTACTCTCTCAACTAAACACCCACAGCTCGGCCTTGATGAAGAACAATGACGTGAAGCTTAAACATCAATTTAGCCTCAATCATTATAAAGGAATCTGCATTGCGCAAATGTTTATGCTATATCGGAGGGGTCAACCAACACAACCTGTAAGCTGTTCCTCTACTTGACTTTGTCATTGGATATTGAAACCCAGCCTGGTCTCATAGACGAGACGTAACATAGTAAATGTAAATCCAGGACACTCAAATTATACTGAACAAAAATATAAACGCAACATGCAACAATTTTAAAGATTTTACTAAGTTACAGTTCATATAAGGAAATAAGTCAATTGAAATAAATTCATTAGGCCCTAATCTATGGATTTCACATGACTGAGAATACAGATATGCATCTGTTGGTGACAGATGCCTGCCCATACCATAACCCCACTGCCACCATAGGGCAGTCAGTTCACAATGTTGACATCAGCAAACCGCTTGCCACACGACGCCATACACGTGGTCTGCGCTTGTGAGGCCGGTTGGACGTACTGCCAAATTCTCTAAAACGACGTTGGAGGCAGTTTATGGTAGAGAAATGAACATTCAATTATCTGGCAACAGCTCTGGTGGACATTCCTGCAGTCAGCAAGCCATTTGCACGCTCCCTCAAAACTTGAGACATCTGTGGCATTGTGTGACAACTGCACATTTTAGAGTGGCCTTTTATTGTTCCCAGCACAAGGTGCACCTGTATAATGATCATGCTATTTAATCAGCTTCTTGATATGCCACACCTGTCAGGTGGATGGATTATCTTGTCAAAGGAGAAATTATCACTTACAGGGATGTAAACAAATTTGTGTACCACATTTGAGAGAAATAAGCTTTTTGTATTGTATGGAACATTTCTGGGATCTTTTATTTCAGCTCATGAAACATGGGACCAACACTTTACATGTTGCGTTTTTATTTTTGTTCAGTGTATTATGATATGTTACGTTTGGTATGGTTACATAAGACAGATGGTTACTTATTTATTTATTCTATTTTTCTTGCTTTTTACCCCTTTTTTTTGCCCCAATTTCATGATATCCAATCGGTAGTTACAGTCTCGTCCCATCGCTGCAACTCCTGTACGGACTCGGGAGAGGCGAAGGTCGAGAGCCATGCGTCCTCCGAAACACGACTCTGCCAAGCCGCGCTGCTTCTTGACACACTGCTCGCTTAGCCCGGAAGCCAGCCGCACCAATGTGTCGGAGGAAACACAGTACAACTGGCGACCGAAGTCAGCGTGCATGCGCCCGGCCCGCAACAAGGAGTCGCTAGAGCGCGATGGGACAAGGACATCCCGGCCGGCCAAACCCTCCCCTAACCTGGACGACGCTGGGCCAATTGTGCGCCACCTCATGGGTTTCCCGGTCGCGATGCACTGCGATGCAATGCCTTAGACCGCTGCGCCACTCAGGAGGCGACAGATGGTTACTTAAGGCAAAAACGAAAGTAGTGTGGTTGGTCAGGGTGGAGGGGTGAGCGTATAACTGGAGGGGTGGGCGTATAACGCAAACGTCTAGCAACTCAAAGGTTGCAAGTTTGAATGTCATCACTGACAACTTTAGCATTTTAACTAATTAGCAACTTTTCAACTACTTACAACTTTTTAGCTACTTTGGAACTACTTAGCATGTTAGCTAACCCTTCCCCTAAACCTAACCTTAACCATTTTAGCTATACCTAACCTTAACCCTTTAACCTAACTCTTAAACTTAACCCAAACCCCTAGCCTAGCTAACGTTAGCCAGCTAGCTAACGTTAGCCTCCTAGCTAGAATTCGTAATATATAATTCGTTTTGCAAATTCGTAACATATTGTAAGTTTAGAAAATTCATAACACAAACGTTTTGCAAAAATCTAAACATATTGTACGTTTTGCAAATTCGTAACATATCGTGCGTTTTGCTAATTCATAACATATTGTACATTTAGCAAATTCGTTACATATCGTACGTTTTGTAAATTCATAACATACACTACCGGTCAAAAGTTTTAGAACACCTACTCATTCAAGGGTTTTTCTTTTCTTTTTTACTATTTTCTACATTGTAGTATAATAGTGAAGACATCAAAACTATGAAATAACACATATGGAATCATGTAGAAACCAAAAAAGTGTTAAACAAATTTGAGATTCTTCAAATAGCCACCCTTTGCCTTGATGACAGCTTTGCACACTCTTGGCATTCTCTCAACCAGCTTCACCTGGAATGCTTTTCCAACAGTCTTGAAGGAGTTCCCACATACAGTGGGGAAAAAAGTATTTAGTCAGCCACCAATTGTGCAAGTTCTCCCACTTAAAAAGATGAGAGAGGCCTGTAATTTTCATCATAGGTACACGTCAACTATGACAGACAAATTGAGAAAACAAAATCCAGAAAATCACATTGTAGGATTTTTAATGAATTTATTTGCAAATTATGGTGGAAAATAAGTATTTGGTCACCTACACACAAGCAAGATTTCTGGCTCTCACAGACCTGTAACTTCTTCTTTAAGAGGCTCCTCTGTCCTCCACTCGTTACCTGTATTAATGGCACCTGTTTGAACTTGTTATCAGTATAAAAGACACCTGTCCACAATCTCAAACAGTCACACTCCAAACTCCACTATGGCCAAGACCAAAGAGCTGTCAAAGGACACCAGAAACAAAATTGTAGACCTGCACCAGGCTGGGAAGACTGCATCTGCAATAGGTAAGCAGCTTGGTTTGAAGAAATCAACTGTGGGAGCAATTATTAGGAAATGGAAGACATACAAGACCACTGATAATCTCCCTCGATCTGGGGCTCCATGCAAGATCTCACCCCGTGGGGTCAAAATGATCACAAGAACGGTGAGCAAAAATCCCAGAACCACACGGGGGGACCTAGTGAATGACCTGCAGAGAGCTGGGACCAAAGTAACAAAGCCTACCATCAGTAACACACTACGCCGCCAGGGACTCAAATCCTGCAGCTTAAGCCAGTACATGTCCAGGCCCGTCTGAAGTTTGCTAGAGTGCATTTGGATGATCCAGAAGAGGATTGGGAGAATGTCATATGGTCAGATGAAACCAAAATATAACTTTTTGGTAAAAACTCAACTCGTCGTGTTTGGAGGACAAAGAATGCTGAGTTGCATCCAAAGAACACCATACCTACTGTGAAGCATGGGGGTGGAAACATCATGCTTTGGGGCTGTTTTTCTGCAAAGGGACCAGGACGACTGATCCGTGTAAAGGAAAGAATGAATGGGGCCATGTATCGTGAGATTTTGAGTGAAAACCTCCTTCCATCAGCAAGGGCATTGAAGATGAAACGTGGCTGGGTCTTTCAGCATGACAATGATCCCAAACACACCGCCCGGGCAACGAAGGAGTGGCTTCGTAAGAAGCATTTCAAGGTCCTGGAGTGGCCTAGCCAGTCTCCAGATCTCAACCCCATAGAAAATCTTTGGAGGGAGTTGAAAGTCTGTGTTGCCCAGCGACAGCCCCAAAACATCACTGCTCTAGAGGAGATCTGCATGGAGGAATGGGCCAAAATACCAGCAACAGTGTGTGAAAACCTTGTGAAGACTTACAGAAAACGTTTGACCTATGTCATTGCCAACAAAGGGTATATAACAAAGTATTGAGAAACTTTTGTTATTGACCAAATACTTATTTTCCACCATAATTTGCAAATAAATTCATTAAAAATCCTACAATGTGATTTTCTGGATTTTTTTCCTCATTTTGTCTGTCATAGTTGATGTGTACCTATGATGAAAATTACAGGCCTCTCTCATCTTTTTAAGTGGGAGAACTTGCACAATTGGTGGCTGACTAAATACTTTTTTTCCCCACTGCATGCTGAGTACTTGTTGTCTGCTTTTCCTTCACTCTGCGGTCCGACTCATCCCAAACCATCTCAATTTGGTTGAGGATGGGGGATTGTGGAGGCCAGGTCATCTGATGCAGCACTCCATTACTCTCCTTCTTGGTAAAATAGCCCATACACAGCCTGGAGGTGTGTTGGGTCATTGTCCTGTTGAAAAACAAATGATAGTCCCACTAAGCCCAAACCAGATGGGATGGCGTATCGCTGCAAAATGCTGTGGTAGCCATGCTGGTTAAGTGCGCCTTGAATTCTAAATAAATCACAGACAGTGTCACCAGCAAAGCACCCCCACACCATAACACCTCCTCCTCCGTGCTTTACGTTGGGAAATACACATGCGGCGATCATCCATTCACCCACACCATGTCTCACAAAGACACAGCGGTTGGAACCAAAAATCTCTAATTTGGACTCCAGACCAAAGGACAAATCTCCACCGGTCTAAGGTCCATTGCTCGTGTTTCTTGGCCCAAGCAAGTCTCTTCTTATTATTGGTGTCCTTTAGTAGTGGTTTCTTTGCAGCAATTTGACCATGAAGGCCTGATTCACACAGTCTCCTCTGAACAGTTGATGTTGAGATGTGTCTATTTGGGCTGCAATTTCTGAGGCTGGTATCTCTAATGAACATATCCTCTGCCGCAGAGGTAACTCTGGGTCTTCCATTCCTGTGGCGGTCCTCATGAGAGCCAGTTTCATCATAGCGCTCAATGGTTTTTGCGACTGCACTTGAAGAAACTTTCAAATTGCTTGACATTTTCCGTATTGACTGACCTTCATGTCTTAAAGTAATGATGGACTGTTGTTTCTCTTTGCTTATTTGAGCTTTACTTGCCGTAATATGGACTTGGTCTTTTACCAAATAGGGCTATCTTCTGTATACCCCCCCCCCCCCCCCCCCCCCCCACCTTATCACAACACAACTGATTGGCTCAAACGCATTAAGAAGGAAAGTAATTCCACAAATGAACTTTTAAGAAGGCACACCTGTTAATTGAAATGCATTCCAGGTGACTACCTCATGAAGCTGGTTGAGAGACTGCCAATCGTGTGCAATGCTGTCATCAAGGCAAAGGGTGGCTATTTGAAGAATCTCAAATATAAAATATATTTTAATTTGTTTAACACTTTTTTGGTTACTACATGATTCCATATGTGTTATTTCATAGTTTTGATGTCTTCCCTATTATTCTACAATGTTATAATACGTATTTTCAGTGAACCCGCAATGCAGTTTTCCTTCATCTGCAGTTTGTTGTATTGGGGCCATGTTTACATCTCTCCAATGCTAATAGGGAGTGGGTTGTGTGTCCCTGGTGATGTTTAGGATCAGCTGTTTGGGCGGGACCCCACCGTAACAGACGAGCTAATGGCCATCCTGAACGAGCTCACACAGCTCAACAAGATGGAGAACTCCAAGGTGGCCCTGCGTGCCAGACAGGTACATTTCGCAACTGTTTGTACTGAATGACGTTTTCCCACAATGGAATGTACCGTTATTCAACATTCTAAGACTTCAGTCAGATAAGATGATAGATGTTATTCACTTATATAGGCAGTTTAGTAGCTACAAAACAATAGATATTGATGGACTAGTGTGTATTTTGCAGGTTTTGATAGCATCCCATCTGCCCTCTTATGAACTGAGGCAAAACCAGGTGGAGTCCATCTTTCTGTCTGCAATTGACAGGTATGGGCACCAGTTCTGCCCAGAGAATCTGAAGGTGAGCATAATCTTTCCCGCGATTTATCCAAAACAGCAAAAACATTTTATACTTACCGAAGACCTAAAGGATAATATTGCTTTTCCCCTCGGCAGAAACTCATCCTGTCTGAGACCTCCATCTTCGATGTCTTGCCCAATTTCTTCTACCACTCTAACCGGGTGGTGTGCATGGCTGCCTTGGAGGTGAACATAGTGAACAGCATATAAACCGGATTTGGCTTCATCCTGATGTAGATCATTTCACTAAAATTCTCCCTTTTATGTTCACTTCCCGCTGTCCCCTCCCAATAGGTGTACGTGCGCAGGGCCTACATTGCTTACGAGCTGAACAGCCTCCAGCATCACCAGTTGCAGGACGGGACGTGTGCTGTAGACTTCCAGTTCATGTTGCCGTCATCCCACCCCAACAGGTACCCAGCCACCGCAGACAACAGTTCTCTACCAACGTCACAAAGCAGCTCTACACCAAACACACTATGGAGTTCAGATCATTTTGATCGTTGCCACATACAATACATGGCTTCCATAGCTGCCAGGTACAAGTGTTCCATAGCTGCCAGGTACAAGTGTTCCATAGCTGCCAGGTACAAGTGTTCCATAGCTGCCAGCTATCTCCTTGTGCCAAAAAGTGAACAGTAAGAAGCCTGTGAGTTGAGATAGAAGGAACAGGGTGGGTGCAATTTGGCATAAACTGGGGGATTCGAAAACAGACCGTGAAAAGACAGTTAGTTTACAACCCAAAGTTACAACTCTCCCATGTGTCGAAAGAAAAGTTGTTTATAGTTAATTCACTATTCACCACATAAGGCTTTAATTATGCTAAGCAATGTGAATGGAAATCTATTGTATCTTAGTTAGGGGGTGTCTTTGTTAGGGGGTACCTTTACATTTACATTTACATTTTAGTCATTTAGCAGACGCTCTTAACCAGAGCGACTTACAGGAGCAATTAGGGTTAAGTGCCTTGCTCAAGGGCACATTAACGTCATTTAGCAGACGCTCTTAGCCAGAGCGACTCACAAATTGGTGCGTCCACCCTATAGCCAGTGGGATAACCACTTTACAATTTGGGGGGGGGGGGGGGGGGGGGGGGGGGGGGGGGGGTTAGAAGGAATACTTTATCCTATCCCAGGTATTCCTTAAAGAGGTGGGGTTTCAAATGTCTCCGGAAGGTGGTGAGTGACTCCGCTGTCCTTTGTTAGTGAATGAGCCAATCGAGATGTGTTTTAAAGTTTTTTCAGTACGTCTTTACACTATTTTTCTGTAGTCCAGTATTCCTCTGGTTCTCATTGACTTGCTCCTGTTTCCCATTTCTCCCCAACAACAAGAGAGTGATTCACCTGAGTGATTCACTCCGCCCGAACCGACACATAATCCACTCTACTCTACCTGCTCAGCATCTCTGAGAACATGTTGTTCAGTCCCTATACTGAGAGCACTAATAAAGCCTGTAACCCCTGGTCATGGTACAGTCTGTTTGCTCCTTCCATTTTGGCAGTGCAGGAGACCCATCTCTGTCCTTCCTCACCCCCCCCCCCAACCCTCTCCTCTTTGGAACAAACCCTCAATTTAGTCGTTTTCCCACCGCCACTTTGGGGCAAATAGTCAGACAGAGGTACACTATTGGGATTAACTGTTATATCAGATTGCTCTCAAGTTTCCAACACTTAGATTCCACAAACCAGGAAAAGGACTTAAATTATTGTTATTGTTTAAAAAATGTTTTTCTTACAGATTGTTTTTGAAAATAGATTTTCGAAGTGGCTAAAATTATATTTGACTGAAAGTCGGGCCTGATTGCAGAGGCTTGACTTTTCCCTCTGCTCTTCTGTTTTGTTATAAGTCAGGTTTCGTGATTGCAACCTGATAGATCACAATAGATCTTAATCACACACAGAAATACAATTACCCATAAGCTGCTTTTAACTTTTAAACTTTAGAATTATTTTTCATGGTTATTATTCATGTGTGCAAAGCTAGAGTATGTCATAAAGTGCTTTGAAACTAATAAAATTGCATAGAGGTAAAGGAAGAGCTTTAAGGTGGATCATCCACTGCTAACATTCACCTGCCAAATATCTGATTTCAGAGGGAGCAGCCCTACTCTGAACAGGTAAAGTACAGCTCCTCCTTCCAGGCATCCTGACACACGGTGTCTGGCTCTGTCTGTGTATGTCTCCTAGCAATGCATGCTTTTCCCCCTCTCTTTTTGAAACTGTAAACCTTTGCCGAAGGACTTTCTAACACGTCCTTCCTAAAAAAAAAAATGTTTTTATTGTTTGTCTTTCTCAACTTTCATAGAGATTAGTAGCTTTTGGGAGGCACATTTAGTTTGTCTGACCTACTGTATGCAATATGCCTTTTTAAAACCTTAGCCTGACAGTGTGATTCCTTTGTGACAAAAAGGGGATTCAGTATTCTACCAGTGGCTGATTTGACCCTCATAGGCCACTGTAGTAATCTGCCCCACCACTTTCAATCGAACATAATCAGTTGATACTGTTAAATCAAACACAATCAGTCAATCAGTTCATATTATCAAATGTATTATCAAACAAAAAAAGTGTCTAGTGAACAAAGACATTGCTGTCTGTTATGCTTTGTGGAAAGAAAACAGGTACAGTATGCTGTTGGCATCGTGATGTAAACTTGCTGTCAGTTCCTCACCAGCGCCTACACTAATTTGTGTCGATGGTTGTTCACCATGGCTAGTGCTGAAGCAAAGCAAACCCCCAACCTTAATTGAACATTGCTCCCTGTGCTTCAACCCAAACCTACCCAGGGGTCACCAGTATGTCCTCCCTCCCCTCAGGGTGGCAATGCCGGTGAACAGCGCAGGGCAGTTTGAGATGAGGCGGCAGGGTAGCGAACTCTTCCTAGAAGGGGCACTCTCTCCCCCCTGTCAGCGCATGGGGGCCATGGTGGCCTTCCAGTGTTTTAAAGACTTCAAAAGGTAAAAAACCCCACAGAGAACAACTCTTGGATGTCAGGTTTGCATGGTAGAAATATGTAGGCTGGGTAATATAGGGTAATAATAAGCCTTGTCCTGACCTGACATGTGTGTCCATCCACTGGGTGTGTGTGCAGGAACTTTGACGAGGTCATCTCCAGCTTTGCTGACCCGCACCAGGAGAGCACGCTGTTCTCCGAGGCCTGCCCCAGCCTCTACGAGGAGGACAACTGCAAGGTGACCATGTGATGGGATCGTGTTACACAGGCTTTACAGACCTTTTGACTCTGGTGGTGTCTGCAAGCCGCCCACAAGGGGTCCCCTAAATGGACCGAAATATTGTCCAGAAATGACCTCATTAGACAGAAAATATATACTGTTTGCCTAATACTAATGATTTGTGTGGTTATAATAGAATACATTTATATTATATTGTTATCATCTATGTTAATGAATTGTACACAGAGTATCTTTAAGAGAATCATTTGGTAAATGAGGAGAAGGCTGAGATTTCTCACTAAGCTGTGATTGATTATTTCCCCTACGCTCCTGCAGAACATGAGGGAGAACCCCATCCATATCATCAATGTGTCCATCAAGTCGGCGGACACGGAGAATGACGATGCCTTGGTCACAGCATTCGCTACCTTCGCCCAGTCTAAGGTCAACAGCGCTGTTCATCCCCCCAAATAATATTATGGATTTCTCTCATAGGGGGAATCTTAAAGGGGTTCACCCCTTCATTATTAACCCAGGGTCCTATGATTTCTGCACTAGGATTATACTTGATATGATTATTTCTTATTACAGAAAGTTTTACTCTTTGAGCACGGCATCCGAAGGATCACGTTTTTAGTCACACAGAGGGTAAGATGTTTCTACAAGACCATTTGAAATAGCCTCGTACGATCATCCTGATCTCGCAAGCTTACATTCTGTTGCACGGAATCCATGTAGCGAAACAGAATGTAAGCTTGCGAGATCAGGATGGTCGTACGAGGCTACATTTGAGAAATTCCCTTTGCTGTTGTTGAATACAATTGTGAGTAGTACTCCGTCATCTCTTACTATTAATACGTGTGGCTTGGATATATAAATATTGGACCACTTATTTCTGACTTCTAGTTATTCTTTAGAATGCTACTCCTCTTACACCGTTTAAGCTAGAAACGCCATTCAAACTTTAAAACAAGCAGACTGGTCTTGAATAGTGTGATTGCATACAACTTTTTTGATACTAATTATACTTTTAAAACTTATTGAACTTCATCCACTTTAATAGGATTTCTTCAACATTCTAAGGCTTCCATTGTGACATCATGACTTCCAACATTCCATTCACTGTGAATGCAACTTTTGACACAAATCAGCTCCTTTGACCACTTCCCCAACAAGTTAGACAAAAGGTTAGAGGGTATGACATCTTGGTCTACTTCCCTGCTATTCAAATCTGGAATCAGAACAGAATTATCTGCTACCAATCAAAAGTTACAGCTGATTGTTGGAGTTTAGAGTGACGAAAAGTAGCTATCTAATGTCAGCCAAAGCTCTCTCATGTCTCCTCATTGAGCAGCTCAAACAAAGTCGTTGCTATGAATACCAATGCATTTTAATGGCAAAAAAAAAGGGCCATAGGCTAGAATGGTGAAAAAAAATACAAACTTCTAGACCTGTGTCCTCTTTCACCGTCTAAGCTATCAACTCTAAACCAACGTTGAGATGTTCAGACTGACCCTACTTGGATTGCTTGTCAAAATATTTTTGTATGTACCTTGGATGGTGCCTCCATTGATGGTGTTCCTGCATACAAATATCTGGGCATCTGGATGGACAGTAAGCTATCTTTTAAAAAGCATATTGATGAGTTAGTTAAGAAGCTGAGATAAAACATTGGCTTCTTCTGTAGAAATAGGTCCTGCCTTTCACTTAATAGTAGAAAGCAGATCATTCAGTCAACGTTCCTACCGGTCATAGACTATGGCTACATCATCTATATCAGGGATGGGCAACTGGTGGCCCCCCTTTCTAGGCCCGCGGACCAATTCATTTTTTGTTTTGTTTTAAGACTACTTTTTTAGGAACTCAGTTGGGGTCTCAACTTACTGTTGAGAGTTAGAATAATAGAATACACAAGTTGCAATTTAGAAATTTGGTTGTGCATCAGCAGTCACTCAATTAGCCCATGCCAGATTATTATTTTTTGATTGGTAAATTAATCTAGCGACCAGCTATCTAAACTTGTAGTAAGCATGGTCGAATTACAGACCGGGTTGGGGCCCATTGATCATCAGTTATCATATTAAAAACTGCAAACATTTGCCTCCACCCTATGGCAAAATGTGGAGAATTGCAGGACATTTTCTGTAAAACCGCACATTTTTCTCTCCACCCCATGGCAAAATTAGTAGAATTGCATGAAATGAGTTATACAATTGCAGAAAAGTGTAATATTGAAATGTAAACTCAAAATTGAATACATTTCAACTCATTATGTCTGACATGGTACATGTGTCTTCTTTTTTTAAAGACCATAACCATGTGTGTGAGGAGTATACTTTTGGTTCAAAGTAGATTAGTTTAAGACTACCAAGAAATACTCTGCGTGACTCTGATTTAGCCCACTGCCGTAAAAGTTTGTAATGCCGTTAGATGCCGTTAGACATAGCGCTCTTCGTTTTATTACAAGGTGACATGTTCTGTACACTGCATTCTTTACTGTTCCAAAGTCATGTAGGTTGAGTTATTGCTCTCTTTTTATTTATATTTTACAAAAACTCTCGCCGTACCTAACATCATTAATAACCTTCAGACGTACGAGTTACCACACCCGGTCTCAGGTATGGCTAACTCTGGTAATCACTTCGGTCTCCTCAGAGTTAGGTAAATCACCTTTTTGTTTCTTACAATCTACAGATTTCCCCACAACTGTATTTTGTAAGTTGTGTGCATGCTGGTAACAATGGGACTGCCTGCTAAAATAAAGGTTACAAAAATGTTTCTATAACTTATGATTGATGTACTATTAACTTAACATTAACTTACTATTAAACTATGGCTAATAAAAGTAGGGTCATATTCAAAGATTTTTGCAATGGAAAATTAAAACAATCCTTTCTTATTGGACAATAATAGTCTCTCCCTGTTTCCGACCCTTTTCTTCTGTTTGGTGCCCTAATGAATACAACCAAGATTAATCAAATTTTTCTCTCTGATTTTTACCAGAGGGAATTTCCCAAGTTCTTCACTTTCAGAGCCAGAGACGGGGTAAAAAACAACAACATATTTACACAAAATAATTTTCACAATAACAGGACATTTGTTATACATGAACAACCTTAAAACACTAGTAAACTTGTAAAACACTCCCCCCCCCCCCCCCCCCCCCCCCCCTCTCTCCCCCAGTTCCAGGAGGACCGTATCTACAGGAACCTGGAGCCTGCTCTGGCCTTCCAGCTGGAGCTGAACCGCATGCGTAACTTTGACCTGACAGCCGTGCCCTGTGCCAACCACAAGATGCACCTGTACCTGGGCGCTGCCCGCGTGCAGGAGGGTGCCGAGGTCACCGACTACCGCTTCTTCATCCGAGCCATCATCCGCCACTCTGACCTCATCACAAAGGTACGGGGGGGGGGGGTGGTGGAGTCAACGCCACATTAAGTTAAAGGGATACGTAGGGATTTTGGCCATGAGGCCCTTTATCTACTCCCCCAGAGTCAGAGGAACTCGTGGATACCATTTTTATATCTCTGTGGCCAGTATGAAGGAAGTTAGTTAGTTTCGCAAGCCAATGCTAACTAGCGTTAACGCAATGACTGGAAGTCTATGGGTATCTACTGTACTAGCATGCTAGCAGATACCTATAGATTTCCAGTCATTGCGCTAATGCTAGTTAGCATTGGCTCATAAAACTACCTCCAACTTCCTTCATACTGGACACAAAGACATAAAAATAGACATAAAATTAGTATCCACAAATTAATCTGACTCTGGGAATGTAGAAAGGGCTTCATCGCCAAAATCCCAAAGTATCCCTTTAAAAATACATGTATTGATTTTGCACCCTTATATTTGAGATAAAAGGTTTCTGTCTTGCTAAGACTAATAATTTTGTCACATAACTCTTGCACCTCTCTCTCTCTCTCTCTTCCAGGAAGCATCCTTTGAGTACCTGCACAATGAGGGTGAGCGTCTTCTCCTGGAGGCCATGGATGAGCTGGAGGTAGCCTTCAGCAACAACAACGTGCGCACTGACTGCAACCACATCTTCCTCAACTTTGTCCCCACCGTCATCATGGACCCCTCCAAGGTCAGTGTGCCTGTGCCTGGCCTCCTATCTGCTCTGCCGGCTCCACTTAACTAAGTGATTGACGACAATCCTTTTCGGAATATTCCATCTTTAAAGGACTATGCAAAACTTTTGCATCTGGGGGTGCTCCTGGACCAAAACAGGTCCGAAATGACCTCATTGGACAGAAAAGAGCACACCTCCCCAGGCCCATGAGCAAAAACATACAACTAAGGATTGTGTGGTTTCAGGAGTTAAGAAGTGAATAATCGTACATGACGGTGGCCTTAGTTAAAGTGGTAAATGATCTTAGAGCCAACACAGATGCCAAACAGCTCTCTGTCCTAGTATTTGGTAGCATTGCCTTTAAATTGTTTAACTTGGGTCAAACGTTTCGAGTAGCCTTCCACAAGCTTCCCATAATAAGTTGGGTGAATTTTGGCCCATTCCTCCTGACAGAGCTGGTGTAACTGAGTCAGGTTCATAGGCCTCCTTCCTCGCACATGCTTTTTCAGTTCTGCCCACAAATCTTCTATAGGATTGAGGTCAGGGCTTTGTGATGGCCACTCCAAAACCTTGACTTTGTTGTCCTTAAGCCATTTTGCCACAACTTTGGAAGTATGCTTGGGGTCATTGTCCATTTCGAAGACCCATTTGCGACCAAGCTTCAATATATCCACATAATTTCCCTTCCTCATGATGCCATCTATTTTGTGAAGTGCAGCAGTCCCTCCTGCAGCAAAGCACCCCCACAGCATGATGCTGCCACCCCTGTGCTTCACGATTGGGATGGTGTTCTTCGGCTTGCAAGTCCCCCCTTTTTCCTCCAAACATAACGATGGTCATTATGGCCAAACAGTTCTATTTTTGTTTAATCAGACCAGAGGACATTTCTCCAAAAAGTACGATCTTTGTCCCCATGTGCAGTTGCAAACCGTAGTCTGGCTTTTTTATGGCGGTTTTGGAGCAGTGGCTTCTTCCTTGCTGAGCAGCCTTTCAGGTTATGTCGATATAGGACTCTTTTTACTTTGGATCTAGATACTTTTGTACCTGTTTCCTCCAGCATCTTCACAAGGTCCTTTGCTGTTGTTCTGGGATTGAGTTGCACTTTTTGCACCAAAGTACGTTCATCTCTAGGAGACAGAATGCGTCTCCTTCCTGAGCGGTATGACGGCTGCGTGGTCCCATGGTGTTTATACTTGTGTACTATTGTTTGTACAGATGAACGTGGTACCTTCAGGCGTTTGGAAATTGCTCCCAAGGATGAACCAGACTTGTGGAGGTCTACAATTTTTTGTCCGAGGTCTTGGCTGATTTCTTTTGATTTTCCCATGATGTCAAGCAAAGAGACACTGAGTTTGAAGGTAGGCCTTGAAATACATCCACAGGTACACCTCCAATTGACTCAAATGATGTCAATGAGCCTATCAGAAGTTTCTAAAGCCATGACATCATTTTCTGGAATTTTCCAAGCTGTTTAAAGGCACAGACAACTTAGTGTATGGAAACTTCTGACCCACTGGAATTGTGATACAGTGAATTATAAGTGAAATAATCTGTCTGTAAACAATTGTTGGAAAATTTACTTGTGTCATGCACCGACTTGCCAAAACTATAGTTTGTTAACAAGAAATTTGTGGAGTGGTTGAAAAACGAGTTATAATGACTCCAACCTAAGTGTATGTAAACTTCAGACTTCAACTGTATACAGAAGTATGTGGACACCCCTTCAAATGAGTGGAGATCGGCTATTTCAGCCACACCCGTTGCTGACGTGTATAACATCGAGCACACAACCATGCAATCTCCATAGACAAACATTGGCAGTAGAATGGCCTTACTGAAGAGCTCATTGACTTTCAACGTGGCACCGTCATAGGATGCTACCTTTCCAACAAGTCCGTTTGTCAAATTTCTGCCTTGCTAGAGCTGCCCCGGTCAACTGTAAGTGCTGTTATTGTGAAGTAGAAACGTCTAGGAGCAACAACGGCTCAGCCGCGAAGTGGTAGGCCACACAAGCTCACAGAACGGGACCGCAGAGTGCTGAAGTGCGTAGTGTAAAAATCGCCTGTCCTTGGTTGCAACACTCACTCCCGAGTTCCAAACTGCCTCTGGAAGCAACGTCAGCACAAGAACTGTTCGTCGGGAGCTTCATGAAATGGGTTTCCATGGCCGAGCAACCGCACACAAGCCTAAGATCACCATGCACAATGCCAAGCGTCGGCTGGAGTGGTGTAAAGCTCGCCGCCATTGGATTCTGGAGCAGTGGAAATGCGTTCTCTGGAGTGATGAATCACGCTTCACCATCTGGCAGTCTGACGGACGAATCTGGGTTTGGCGGATGCCAGGAGAACGCTATCTGTCCCAATGCATAGTGTCAACTGTAAAGTTTGGTGGAAGAGGAATAATGGTCTGGGGCTGTTTTTCATGGTTCGGGCTAGGCCCCTTAGTTCCAGTGAAGGGAAATCTTAACGCTACAGCCTACTATGACATTCTATACGATTCAGTGCTTCCAACTTTGTGGCAACAGTTTGGGAAAGGCCCTTTCCTGTTTCAGCATGACAATGCCCCCATGCACAAAGTGAGGTCCATACTGAAATGGTTTGTTGAGATCGGTGTGGATGAACTTGACTGGCCTGCACAGAGCCCTGACCTCAACCCCATCGAACACCTTTGGGATGAATTGGAACGCCGACTGCGAGCCAGGCCTAATCGCCCGACCTCACTAATGCTCTTGTGGCTGAAGGGAAGCAAGTCCCCGCAGCAATGTTCCAACATCTAGTGGAAAGGGATTGATTTTCACTGCTACGCAGACGATACTGTCACGATCGTCATAATGATTGGACCAAGGCGCAGCGTGATATGCGTACATCTTTTTAATAGTGTACTGGCAACACGATACAAAATACAAAACAACCAAACGAAACGTGAAGTCCTCGGTTAACAACACAAACCAACACGGAACAAGATCCCACAAAACACAAGTGCACAACAGGCTGCCTAAGTATGGTTCCCAATCAGAGACAATAAGCAACAGCTGATTCTCGTTGCCTCTGATTGAGAACCACCCCGGCCAACATAGAAAACACATGAACTAGAAACTGAACATAGAACACAAAACATAGACCCTACACACCCTGGCTCAACATATAAGAGTCCCCAGAGCCAGGGCGTGACAGATACACAGCTTTACATTTCTGTGCCACCAGAGGATTTTAGCTCGACAGTTAAATTATTATACTGTATTAATGATTTAGATACTTGGATGGCTCACAACTTCCTCCAGCTAAATTAAGACAATACTGATGTACTTATTATTGGAGCCAAAGCACAAAGAGAGAATCTGGCCCCACATTTTAATTCACAGGCAATAAAGATAAAACACCAGGTCCAAAAACCTAGGTGTCATTTTAGGTTCTGAACTCAATTTCGAATCACACATTAGGAATGTGACCAAAATAGCTTTTTACCACCTGAGGAACATTGCCAAGGTGCGGCCGTTTCTATCTCAGGCTGATACAGAGAGACTCATCCATGCTTTTATTACAAGCAGATTTGACTAATGTAATGCTCTCCTGTCTAGTCTACCCAAGAAAGCCATTGGTCAACTGCAGACTGTACAGACTGTTGCAGCACAGGTACTGACCAAGACCAGACTGAGAGCACAAATTACACCGGTTCTATTGGTTTTTAAATCAATCCACGATTATGCACCCCAATACATATCAGACATGCTTTTGAGTTATGTACCCAGTAGGTCCCTCAGGTCCTGTGGCACTGGCCTTTTAACTATCCCAAAGCCTAGGACCAAGAGGCATGGAGAGGCAGCCTTTAGTTACTATGCCCCCAGCCAGAGAACCTGATGGGGGCCGAAACTGTGGACATATTTAAAAGAGATCTTAAAACACACCTTTTTAGCTTTGCTTTTCCTTAGGGTGCTTTTTAGTCTTTCAGTTTTTATTGTTATTCTTTTGTTTTTTATCCTCTTATGTTTGTTGTGTAGTAAATTGATTTGATTTGACATAATGTGTATATGAACCATACAGTATGTGTTGCCTCTCTGTGTCCTCTCTCACCCCCTTCCCACTTTTAGATTGAGGAGTCAGTGCGCGCCATGGTGATGCGTTACGGCTGTAGGCTGTGGAAGCTCCGGGTGCTCCAGGCCGAGTTGAAGATCAACATTCGGCTGACGCCCACCGGGACCGCCATCCCCATCCACCTGTTCCTCACCAACGAGTCGGGCTACAATCTGGACATCAGCCTATATAAGGAAGTCACAGACCCCACAACAGGACAGGTAGGTATATCAGGAAGAGCACTATAAACAGGATCAGCTCACTGGCTTACTGGAGTACAGGAAATTGCCACTCACAGCCAGTGTGCACAGATTGGTACACACTGCACAGCAAGATAAATGATGTTGAATAAGCAGTGCAGGAGTAAAGATTCTACAATTAATAAAGGTTTCATAGGGCATTCATAAAGACTTCATAAAGACTAGATGCTTCACAAATCATTGATAAGCACTTTCTATTTAAGTTTCTCTATCAATTCAATGCAATCAGCTGCTGCTGACCTCTGACCTCCATCGCCGTTCTGATCTCTAGATCATGTTCCAGTCATACGACGACAAGCAGGGCCCTTTACATGGCATGCTCATCAACCATCCCTATGTCACCAAGGACCTGCTGCAGTCCAAACGCTTCCAGGCCCAGACCCTGGGCACCACCTACGTCTACGACTTCCCTGAGATGTTCCGACAGGTGGGGTGCCTCTCTCGCTCTCTTTCTCTCTCGCTTTCTCACTCTTTCTCTCTCTCTCTTTTTCTCTCTCTCCCTCTCACTGTAAAAACGTTTTGACACTTGATCCTTCCTCTGTTTAAACTGTGCGGGCTGTATTTCTTTTTAACCCACGTTTTACCTTTTGTGTCTCATAGGCCCTCTTTAAGCTGTGGGGTCCAGGGGACAGTTACCCTAAAGACATGCTGATGTGCACTGAGCTGGTGCTGGACTCCCAGGACCGACTGGTGCAGATGAACCGCCTGCCTGGAGATAACCAGGTAGAACACATGGCATGCTCACGTGGATTGGAAGGAACTAAAACAGAGAACAGCAGGACCCTATTTCTTTTAAATCCCCTATGTTGTCCTAAAACCTCATGGCAATTGCATATACCCTTCTTCACTCTCTCTCCCCGCTCTCCCTCCCAGGTGGGAATGGTAGTCTTCCGGATGAGGATGAAGACGGCGGAGTATCCTGAGGGCCGTGACATCATCGTCATCTGCAATGACATCACCTACATGATTGGCTCGTTCGGGCCCCAGGAGGACCAGCTTTTCCTGCGGGCTTCGGAGCTGGCCCGGGACGAGGGCATTCCACGCATCTACATCTCAGCCAACAGCGGGGCGCGCATTGGCCTGGCCGAGGAGATACGACATATGTTCCAGGTGGCCTGGATCGACCCCCAGGACCCTTATAAGGTGACTTATCACCGGGCACTACTTACCAGTAGACTCTATGCCAGACCATTTAAGTATTGACGTGCTCAACTCAATAGTCATTGTAAAAAGGTATTTGGGTGCAGGGTTGAGACTTTTAAGGGCATACCATGCTGGAAAAGGGGAAAGAAAATACACTCGCTGGAAATACTCATTCAAAATGTAATTCATTTGCTGCAGCAGAGGCCATGGTAATCCAAAACAAATAAGATTCTGACTTACCTGTATTCCTTCCCTCTGCATGGCATCTCTGGTAAACCTACACCTAGCACAACTGTTTGTTAGAATGTGCTGGTGGCATGGTCTGCTACAGTAGGTTGGACAAACAGAATTGTGATCAGAGCAGTGGTGGTGCTATTGAGATTCACGGTGGGGCATAATGGCAAGGTGTAATCATGTTGTAACCACTATCACCCTCTACACAGACATGCCCTGTCTCTGTCACTGTGTGAGCCCTCTTCCTTGGGAGTGATGACTGTTTGTTTTGTTTTCTCCACCTGTAGGGTTTCAAGTATCTGTACCTGACGCCCCAGGACTACACCCGCATCAGCTCCACCAACGCTGTCCACTGCCACCATGTGGAGGAGGACGGGGAGTCCAGGTAGAACACACATACCCTTCACATGGGGCTATTCACCCCTTTATCAAATAGCACAGCCAACAAACACAGTTTGTTATCCCAGAGATTTGCTGACTCACTCTCTCTCACTCGCCCATCCCATTGGCTGGACTCCAGGTACATCATCACTGATATCATAGGGACCGAGGAGGGACTGGGGGTAGAGAACCTTAGAGGATCAGGCACCATCGCCGGGGAGACGTCCCAGGCCTACGACGAGATCATCACCATCAGCATGGTCAGGAGGAGACGTCACATCACCACAACACACACACAGACACGCACGCACACACATCGCACACACACACACACACACACGTCTCTTCGTCTGGGGTTAGGTACCCCAGGTGGTTAGGCCTACCATGCCTCATTGCTTATGTTAAAGCCATGTTATGTCCTGGTTACTGCAGGTGACGTGCCGTGCCATTGGGATCGGGGCCTATCTGGTGCGTCTGGGGCAGAGGGTCATCCAGGTGGAAAACTCCCACATCATCCTGACTGGGGCTGGAGCCCTCAACAAGGTATGCCTCTGTCCCGTCTGCTTGGATTCATCATGCTTTTGACACTCTGTGAGACTTTTCCAAGAACTAAACACAGGTCCGCTATTAGGATAATACAATGGTATAATGGTCTTTTGAGACCATATCAGCGGTGGACTGACGAGGAATATGTCAAAAGACTGTTTTTAACTAAAATACCCCTTTAAGGAGTCTCATATTTCATAAATAGTGAAACTATTTTAAATAACCATTCATGTTTTCTGCTTTTCAACCACTTGGGACTGTTGCGTAGCATCTGAACCAGATGAATGTAATCCACTGGATATGTGGGGTATTTTCAGTGTCATTGACAGTGGAGCTGTTTTCATTGCAGGTCCTGGGCCGAGAGGTGTACACCTCCAACAACCAGCTGGGAGGCGTCCAGATCATGCACAACAACGGGGTGACACACAGCACAGTGCCCGACGACTTTGAGGGCGTTTTCACCATCCTCCAGTGGCTCTCCTTTATGCCAAAGGTACATTTGAAGAAGAGAAAGAACATCCTAGCCTGGTCCCAGATTTGAGCCCATATTCATAAAGCTTCTCATAGTAGGGCTGATCTAGGATCAGGTCCCCCTAGATCAGCACTTCTACTCTGAGATGCCAAGTTGGCAAGACAGCACAAACAGATCTGGGACCAGGCTAAAGATGTCCCATAAGAGGTCGAACTCGGCCGACCAACCCCCAGATAGAAGATCTCAGAACATTGTTCTACTCTGGTTTCAGAACAAGCACTCTCCGGTGCCGGTGATCCCACCCAAGGACCCAGTGGAGAGGGAGATTGAGTTCACCCCCACCAAGGCTCCCTATGACCCCCGCTGGCTACTGGCCGGGAGGCCCCACCCCAGTGAGACACACACTCTGCAGCATACATACATAACCCTCTTAACTCTGCCCAGATTCTATTTCCCCCTGAGTTGACAGACATGGATATGTCCTTATCATTTTGAATCCACGGTGTAGTGTACTGTGTTTTGAATCGAACCAAAACCAAAACTGTATTTAAAGTGCATTAAAAAAATTAAATACAATTTACATATTAATGTGGAAGACTAAATAAACTCTGTTTGTGCTGTTTAGCTGTAAAAGGAGCCTGGCAGAGTGGATTCTGTGACCATGGCTCCTTCATGGAGGTAATGGGGTCTTGGGCCCAGACAGTAGTGGTAGGCAGAGCCAGGTGAGTGTACTGTACACACATACACACAATAGCAACTTGTAATCGTATAATTAATTATGTGATAGAAATGCTTACAGAAGACGTATGGGTAAAACGTTACTTAAAGTCTGCAGGTACAATGCATTATGATGCAGTTATAAAGCATTTTAAGACTTTTCTTATAATAATCTCATAATAATCCTTACTAAATACCAGCCATTTTGAGTCAGTTGAAAGCTTTTGATACATAGAGAGAGAGAGACATAACATTTGAAGTGTTATTATATGACATTATAAAGGCCCATACATCTTTACAATATGTAAAGCATAATACCTGCAGGATATGGAATCACTGAAATGTTAGCGCTCGGAATGCAGATTGCCAACTAACTTGTAACAAAAAACACCACAGGTTAGGAGGGATTCCTATTGGTGTCATCGCTGTGGAAACACGCACCGTTGAGGTGGCTATCCCGGCCGATCCAGCCAACTTGGACTCTGAGGCCAGAGTGAGTGGCTTAGTGTCCACATTGTACACTGAGTGTACAAAACATTAGGAACAACTGCTCTTTCCATGACATAGACCGACCAGGTGAATCCAGGTGAACGCTATGATTCCTTATTGATGTCACCTGTTAAATCCACTTCAATCAGTGTAGATGAAGGGGAGGAGACAGGTTAAAGAAGGATTTTTAAGCCTTGAGACAATTGAGACATGGATTGTGTATGTGTGAAATTCAGAGGGTGAATGGGCAAGACAAAATATTTAAGTGCCTTTGAACGGGGTATGGTAATAGGTGCCAGGCGCACCGGTTTGAGTGTATCAAGAACTGCACCGCTGCTGGGTTTTTAATGCTCAACAGTTTCCTGTGTATATCAAGAATGGTCCACCACCCAAAGGACACCCAGCCAACTTGACACAACTGTGGGAAGCATTGGAGTCAACATGGGCCAGCATCCGTGTGGAACGCTTTCGACACCTTGTAGTCCATGCCCTGACGAATTGAGGCTGTTCTGAGGGCAAAATGGGGTGCAACTCAATATTAGGAAGGTGTTCAAGTTTAATGTCACATGCACAAGTACAGTGAAATGCCTTTCTTGCTAACTCAAAACCCAACAATGCAATAATTAATAACAATGTATTACTACAAAAAAACACATGAGAAATAAGAACAGGTAATATGAAATACACAATAAAGTAAGCATACTATATACAGGAAATATTTAAAAAGTCAGTTCCAATACCATATTTACAATGTGCAGGGATACTGGAGTGATGGTGGTAGAAATGTATAGAGGTAAGAGGACTAGGCAACAGGCTATAAGATAAACAGAGTAGCAGCAGCTTGTATGTGAGTGGGTGTGCGAGTGTTTAGAGTCAGTATAAATGTATGTGCATATGATGTTTGAGTGAGAAAATGATGGAGTGACTGTGTGTGTGTGTGCATAGAGACTGCAAAAATTTGAAATAAAAGGTCAATAAAGATACAAGGTAAACTCAGATAGTCCATGCTATTTTGTTAGCTATTTATCAGTCGTATTGCTTGGGGATAGAAGCTGTTCAAGAGCCTGTTGGTGCCAGACTTGATACACTGGTATCGCTTGTCGTGCGGCAGCAGAGAAAATAGTCTATGGCTTGGGTGGTTGGAGTCTTTGATGATTTTCCGGGCCTTCTTTTCAAACCGCCTGATATAGAGGTCCTGGATGGCAGGGAGCTCTGATATAGAGGTCCTGGATGGCAGGGAGCTCTGATATAGAGGTCCTGGATGGCAGGGAGCTCGGACCCAGTGATGTACTGTCCGCACAACCCTCTAATGTTTTTGTGCACTCAGTGTATGTTGTGTGCTTTAATGATTATGTAATGAACCTGCTTGTGTCATATGCCAAGGCGACCTGTTAGTAAGCCATCATTAATAAAGTTTTGATGCCTTTGATCATTTAGAAAAGGGAAACATGATCTGACAAGGTAACACAGACTCATACGACAGCTGCAGCAGAGTGTAACATCCCTCTTTGTGTGTCTCTCTCAGCTGGTGCAACAGGCTGGCCAGGTGTGGTTCCCGGACTCAGCCTTCAAGACGGCACAGGCCATCCGTGACTTCAACCGCGAGCGGCTGCCTCTGATGGTGTTCGCTAACTGGAGAGGCTTCTCCGGGGGAATGAAGGGTACGGACTGGCCGACCTGGGTTCAAATACTATATAAAATAATTTCACATACTGTATCTGTGCTTGATTGAGCTTGCCTGTTGCAAGGGGACCAATAGAAAAGTCTAAAGAAGTGCAAGGAATGCCCATCTGGCAGATTAAAGCAAACGCTCAAAATATTAAAACATTTCAAAAAGTATTTGAACCCAGGTCTGGTACTGACTGGAACACTCACTGCCACTGAAACACCCCAACATTTATAGAATCAAATAAAACCACAACTGCACGTCCGTTTCTCTATCTCTCTCAGACATGTATGACCAGGTGCTGAAGTTCGGTGCCTACATTGTGGATGGCCTGCGTGAGTTTCACCAGCCCGTTTTGATCTACATCCCGCCGCACGCCGAGCTGAGAGGGGGATCCTGGGTGGTGATCGACCCCACCATCAACCCTCTGTGCATGGAGCTCTACGCAGACAGGGAGAGCAGGTGGGCCTTTTTACATTTACACAGGAGAGAAGCTTCCCAGCAATGTGAATGAGCTGCTCTCTTACCCTCTCTCTCTCTCTCTCTCTCTCTCTCTTCCTTCCGCTCTTCTCTACCCGCCCCTTCTTATCTTCCCTCTCCTCTTCTCTCCCTCTCTTCTCCCCTCTCTCTCTCTCTCTCTCTCTCTCTCCACCTCTCCCACTCTCTGTCCAGGGGTGGTGTGCTCGAAGCAGAGGGCACTGTTGAGATCAAGTATCGTAGGAAAGACTTGTTGAAGACCATGCGCCGAATCGACTCAGTCTACGCCGTTCTGGCTGAACAGCTTGGTAAACAGCTTGGTAAACTCTTACAACAGTACCTGTAGTTCCACCCATAATATGTACAATAGGCATAATGTTTTATTTTCTTTAGCATTATAACAATTGTTGAAGTTTTGCCATGTCTAGAGTCAAAGGGGTTCGTCAACCCTTTGGAAAAACAGCTGGGTCATTAGGCACCAAACGAAAAGAAACAGACTGAAACAGGACAAGACTACCTGGATTGTCCAATAAGAAACACAAATGTTCCGCTTTCCATTGGAGACACTGGCTGATAAATCCTCTTGACTGGCCAGGTACACCGGAGCTGACGGACAAACAGCGGCGGGACCTGGAGGCTAAGCTGAGTGCCAGAGAGGAGTTCCTACTGCCCATTTACCACCAGGTGGCAGTGCAGTTTGTGGACCTCCACGACACTCCCGGGAGGATGCAGGAGAAGGGTGCCATCACGGTAAGAAACAACTTTCCTCCCAGTGTTTTGCAACAACACTCTATGTTATGATAGTCAATGAAACAAGGGAAGGTGCCAGAGCCAACACTGCAAAGCAAAATAAAGTTGAAGGAGAATACAAAGGGAGCACAAGGGCTGGCAGGAGATGTGTGATGCCCGGTCCTATTCTCTGTACCTGCAATGGGACAGGGGCAATAGTGTCCCTCCCTCTCACTCTATTGTCTATGTAACCCGGTGGTGGTGTATGTAACCCGGTGGTGGTGTATGTAACCCGGTGGTGGTGTATGTAACCCGGTGGTGGTGTATGTAACCCGGTGGTGGTGTATGTAACCCGGTGGTGGTGTATGTAACCCGGTGGTGGTCTACGTAACCTGGTGGTGGTCTGTGTAACCCGGTGGTGGTCTGTGTAACCCGGTGGTGGTGTATGTAAACCAGTTCTGGTCTATGTAACCCGGTGGTCGCATGCAGGACGTCCTGGACTGGAAGAACGTGCGGAGCTTCTTCTACTGGCGTCTGCGGCGCCTCCTGCTGGAGGGCGTGGTGAAGTGTGAAGTCCTGCAGGCTAACCGGGAGCTGAGTGACGGCCACATCCAGTCCATGCTGCGCCGCTGGTTTGTGGAGACAGAGGGCACGGTCCAGGTATGGATGTCACAACGTAATGTCTCTGTTCATGTGATACAAGTGGTGTTATGCTATTGTAGTGTAGCAGCCCTGTCTGAAACATGTAATCCCAATTGTCACCCTCTGAACATAAGGAGTTATTTTTGGTCCAATGTTTAAGATGTTGGGTTACTGCGTGGGAGATACAATCTATTTCACTTCAATCCATTGTGTGTAGAAGTGTTTTAGAGTGAGGTTCTGTGCCACATTTCCAGGCGTACCTTTGGGACCACAATAAAGCTGTGGTGGAGTGGCTGGAGAAACATTTGACCAAAGAGGACGGCACACGATCGGCCATCAGAGAGAACATCAAGTACCTGAAGAGGGACCACGCCTTAAAACACATCTGCAGGTACACACACACACACACACACACACACACACACACACACACACACACACTTGAATGTACTGTGTGCATATGCTGGCAACTACCAGTAATCCTATTGTGTATTCTGTGTCTGTTATTCTAGCCTGGTGCAGGCCAACCCTGAGGTGACCATGGACTGCATCATCCACATGAGCCAGACCATCACTCCGTCCCAGAGGGCCAAGATTTCCCACCTGCTGGCCACGATGGACGGCACGGTCCCCAGTTAAACTCCAGGTCTGAGCTGAGCTGCCCGACGCCATACGCAGGAAATCCCTGTAGTTGTAGCATAGGAGAGAGACTAGAGAAGTAGACCTGTGGAGTTTGGACCCCAAGGCCAGTATCTGTTCCGGTGCCTCCTACCTTCTATTGTAATCAGGTGAGATAATAAAGCTAAGAAGACTAAAGCTTGTCTTTTTCTCAGGGTTAGGGCTAGTTAGTGCTACACACACACACTGTAACCAGGCACAGCAGAGATTCACCCTGCCACTATATATTGCCAGGGGCGGTGTGTTCAATAGGGCGATATGGGCGACGCACTGCCAAACGGGAAAAGGAAGGGATTTTTTTTCTAATCAATTATATCACGGCAACAGTAGTTATCAGTGTTGTAATCTAGACGTCTGATCTGCCACAGTGCCACTAAATGTCCAATCAGGCTAAAGTCGTGCTTCAAATGGCCCCCCCCCCCCTTTTGGGGCGATTTCAGTCAGGTTGAAAATCGCCCAGAAGTCTGTCATAGACTCCCATGTAAAATCTATTTTTTTCAAATATCAGAGCTTTCAATACAATCTCTATGGGTTTCTGAGGGCTTGCACTTACGCGCTTTCGTCATACGTAACATAACCATGAACGTAACTAAGAAAAGAGCGGATAGCAGCGTCAATCAATTCACTATTACTGTCAAAATGGCTAGGCTTCAGTGCAACTCGATTGTGTCTTTGAAAGAAGTTCCTTTTTGTCGGCGAACAAATGAAGATAAATTGGCAACGAAACAATTAGGACCTCCCAGACCAAATTTAATAATTCAACAGGTTTCTACTAAAGGGGGGAAGTCCTACACCCGAGGATTTTCCAAAAATTGGTACGAACGAAAAACCTGGCTAGCAGGCTGCGATGTAGCTAATGCAGTCTTCTGCTACCCCCTGCTTACTCTTTCACCCTGAAGGCGGCACGGCAGACAGCACCGCTTGGACAGCGACTGGTGTGTAACGGACATGCACCATCTTTCAGGAAAGATTAAGAAACATGAGCTGTCAAAGACCCACATGGATAGCTGTTTGAGATTGTCTGCTTTGGGGAGAGTGAACATTCCCACTCAACTGGATGAGGGATACAGGCTAGCTGTCCGCCGCCACAACGATGAGGTTAGTGTTGATAATCACAAGTTTACTGGAGAACTGAAACTGACAAGGCTGACAAGATAGGACCCTTTTGTCCATTGTTATTGGATAGGAACAGAACTTATAACCAGCTCCTGACCTAAATAGATCTTAGCACAACATTTTACTCAACATATCATATTCCATATTCACTATAACAAATATATTTACTACGACATTAGCAAGAACCGCCACATCCTCAGCCGGCTAATCCAGTGTGTGAAGTTTTGCGGAGTGTTTGAGTTAGCTTTGCGAGGCAAAGATGAAACTGAGGGCTCCACCAACCCTGGTAAGCCAACACTTTTGAGATCAGTCAATAAATGCTTCTGGTATTGACTTATATGCTGCCCCTGTCTTCATGTTGTTGCTGGACATATCTTTTTTAAAATGTGTGTAGGTCACCTAAATCATCAGAAAAATTGCCCCCCCTGAGAATTTTTTCAGGAGCCGCCACTGTATATTGCACATGTACTATATGCTGTGCTTAGGATGTTCCATGCAGGCCTGGGTTCAAATATCTCAGATCATTTCAAATACTGTATCTGAGCTTGATTGAGCTTGCCTATTCCAAAATTATCAAAGTTACAAACCCCACCGACCTGACACTACAGGCAGGCTAAAGAACGGTCTGGTTTCATGTAGCTGTTGACATTGCTGTGATCAGAGGGAACCAGCACTACTCGTTAGCATTTCAAATTCACATTATCAATAGGATGGGAAAACCCATATGTTTGAAAAATGTAACATCTTAAAACTTTAATTGAATAGATTGGTCCATGGGCCTTTTTGTCAGTATTCTAATAAAGATTCTCATTGCTAACCTTTGAATGTATGGCAGCCTGTACGACAGGGAATTTTCTGTTTTCTTTCCCTAATTAAACCAAAGATGAGTTTTTATGTCAGTATAGTCCTTAAAAGACTAATCGTGTACAATTTGAAAGTCAAGTAATAGCTTTTTTTTTACTTACCACCAGTGTTTATTCTTGTGCCCTTGAATTTCATTCATTGTATTATCGGTGTTTGACAGAATTAGAAATACACCTGTGTTTTTCCTGAGTCATTTCATTTGTATTTTTTTGTTGTCAATTGCTAGGTTTCCATCCAATTGGCAACAGGTTTTCATGTGAATATTCTAAAATGCGCATGAAAACAATATGTGCATTTTCCCACCAGAGATGTGTTACCATCAAATTGACTTGTTGCGGATAGAAGGCTGTGTGTGATGAGGTGTGCACAAAAAAATCACTTTTGCTGTTAAATTCCCATTTACCGAATTAAAAAAAATACAGTGTTAAATGGATTTCCATAGTATTTTCAACTCTACTGATGGTTTTGTGACAAAACAAATTGCGTTGTATAGCGAATGTGCCCATTCTGGTCTTGGCACATGCGCTCTAGCCAACAGCTGGCAGATACAGTGCGGGTATAGCCAACATGATGAGATTATTATGGACAAAAAGAGCGAGATCATTTTTATTTGTCAAACGGCAGCCAAGCATCAATCATCATGTCACCAGAATAAGACCCTCGATATTTATTGGAAAGGAACATCAAGCTCATCACCGTGTACTTTCACCACCCTGTGAAATTCATAATAATTTATTTAATCTGTAGCCTAATAAACTGCATGCTTTCCTGAGTCGTAGTGGGAGGATCACACAACAGGTCATCACGTGACTCCAAGTTTACTTTGATATGATGGTTATTATATTAATATTTTCGCATAAAGGCATTTCCACCGCCATTTCTCGCATAATACATTTTACAGACACAAAAAGAACCCACCTTGTCTAGCGTATTTTGTTTTGTCGACATTTGTAAAGTTTACTTACAAATGTGTGGTTTCCATCAGGCCTGTCATCACCTGTTTTATCCAACATGTACTTTACTGGCATAAAACGGGTGGATGGAGACCTGGTTACTGATGGTGTATACCAGAGTCTGGCTGAACAATCTAAATGCCAGTAGATAAATTCCCACCTATAGTATTTGTACGGTGCTCATTTGGAAGAAATGGACACTAAAGAAGACCATGATTTATGATAACTTGTTGTATGTGATATGAATACTTGTACATGTTTTCATTGTGTTTTATATAATGCTATTTGTTGCTTAAACTCAGGTGAACAGGGGCAGACAATGGTACAATGGATAAATGACAAAATTGTAACCAAGAGACCCCAAGCTTTTCTCCTGCTGTTGCCTTCAACAAAATACCAGATATCCATTTCAAATTGTGTCAATAATATATGTAAAATATCTGCTATTTACTGTACATTACCCTAATAAGAGGGAAAGTAAATAAATGTAATGAATATATTTTCAGCAAGAAACTGAAACTGATTTACCCAGTGTGATTTTATTATTTTTGCGTAATTTTACAGTACATGTAGCCTGACATCCTTTAGTCATAAAGAATCATGTGAATAATTCAATTAATATTATGAATTCAGAATTTGACTAATTTTAGCATATTTTCCAAAGCTGAACTTTGTAAAATGGTCTACAAATGCTGTTATGACAGATTTTGATATTGGTGTTTTGGAATGTATGGGGAAACACTGTTTAAGAAACAAAAGCTTTTCCGTGGAGATAGAAGGGATTTGAAACATACAAATATATACAGTAAACAGTGTTTGATAAATTCCTCCCTTTCTCCAATATAAATAAAACATTACAGTAATACTTCCTAGCATGATACAGACAACAGATAAAGAACAGGGAACTAACAGTACCATGGTAAGGCTTACAAACACAGGAATGCCAATGGTACAATAACTAGCAGATGGTAAGTTAGTAGTTGGTGTACTACAGGGCAGGACAGTTCTTGAGTCTTTGCTTGGCAAAGTTCCACCAGAGATGTCCGTATATTTTAGTCAATTTGCTCCCAATTTCAGTTTTCCTCTTAGCCACCATTGGTTACTCCTCTTGCTTACAGTATATGTGTGTGGTTTTAAAATGATTTTGATCAAATCAAATCAGTCTCCAAACGAACCTCTTTCTCCCATCTGAAGTAGTGGCTTGGAGACGGCAACACAAGTTGCACTGTCATTGTGGACAGAGAATACCAATGGGGGGGGTTGGTGCCAGGAGTGGGATTGACAAGTAGAGCCACTGTGCAAAAAGAAAAGCTATTTTGATTCTGTTGGTGATGCATCAGCACAGCTCTATCTTTTAACTTCCACTCTGTGGTTGGGATGTTTTCATTTCATTAAAGCAGGGCAGTGATGGGCTTGCTGTTGCCTGGTGTGCCCATGTACTGGGAGGAGAGGGCATCCAGGGCGGCGTATGAGGTGAACAGGCCCGTCGCCTGCAGGTCTGAGAAGGGCATGCTGCCTCCGCTGGAGACAGGAGGGAGGCTGCCAGTCATAGTGCCCAGGTCACAGTCAGACAAACGCAGGGGAGAGTTACTGAAGGTGCCCAATGCCTCCAGATTAAAGCTGTCGTCTTTCATCTCCTCCCACAGGTTACCTGAGGACAGAATAAACTAATTTTGTCACGTCACTGGTCATCACTGCTTCTAAGAGACAAGAAAATGGCCAACTGCCATGCAAAGTAACATTGGTTTGCGGATTGTTAAAACAGTATATCATGTTGTTACTAGGTACAATAGTTACCCACCTTGTAGAGCAAAGTCCATGATGCTGGGGTCCAATGCGTCCACCTCTGCGTTGACGTCACCATGGAGACTGTAGAAGTCATGAGGCTGCTTGCCGGGATGCTCGGTGGCGAGGGGGCTGTGTGAGAGGTCAGGAACGGTGTGGAGTGGGGGTGTCTGGGCGGGGGACACCGGGGCCAGCCTGGCCTGGGCATGGGCCTGGAGCTGGGCATGAAGCTGGTGGTGCTGGTGCATGGGCAGGCACTGCAGGGACAGGGTGACCACGGGCTGGGGCTGCATCTGGCCCGGGACAGGCAGTGATAGGCCGGACAGACAGCTGGGGAGACGGGTCATCCCGGGGTCCATGGGCTTTCGTCTGCAGCTCTCTGGCCGGTCCGTTATCAGCTTGTCCAACTCATCTGACAGAGAGAGAAAAACAGTGAAGTTTAGCAACTGATGACAGACTGATGACTGTCCATTTAAAACAACAAACTTAGCAGATTCTTTCTCTGTGATGCTGCTTATCGCAGCCCACAGAAATGTAGCATGTTAGTGTCGATTGGAACATAGCCAACTGTACTGTAGCCATGACAGTTGCCACATTGACATGGGGGAATAATCATCTTCATTGGTGGTGGGTCGTGTCCTTCATTGATGGGCCGTGTTCAATAGAGCACACAAAGGATTTTTAAAAACATTTAGCAAAGGAAAAGGAAAATGAGTCCAGGTTGTTCCTCCCGGTTTCAGTCCCTTTTCTTTTCTTTTGTGACTAATGAACAGGACCCAGGTTATGTGTGAATAGGCCTCAGTCAGCCCTGTGGTCTCACCTGGGTTGGCCATGCTGCGACGGATGGCTGGCAGGTCCTTGCGCTTCCACTTTTGCATCTCCTCCTCCATCTTGTCGATCTTGGCCGGGTTCAGGGCCCAGAGGCAGCCCTTACGCGAGGAGCCGCTCATCTTGTTCTCCACCTTCTCAAAGCACTTGTTTAGAGACAGGTTGTGCCGGACTGAGTTCTTCCATCCGTCTGGTGCTGTCTTCAGGGAAAACAAACACAAGGAGAGGAAGGAGACCTTTAGACGACTCACTAAACACAGTGCTTACTTCCATGCAATATCTCTGCTTCCCCAATCCCTATTGAATATTAGGCCAGTTTTCTGGACCCAGTCCTGGACTAAAAAGCATTTTCAATTGTGATTCTTCATTGAGCATGCTTTTTAGTCCAGGGTTAGGCTTAAACTGGGCCCGAGAAACCAGCCCTTAGAGGATCTGCTCAAGTCTTACCTTAAAGTAGGGGAAATGGTCCTTCATAAAGCTGTAGATCTCGCTGACGGGGAGACTGCCCGTCTTGCTGTTCTTCAGAGCCATAGCAATCAAACAGCTGAGGATGGATCATAGTAGCAAGACAATATTACCGTTTAGTTATAAATCTAGGAAGTAAATGCATTACATGCGGTTGATAATTAGACCAGGGTCATGTTTATTAGGCACCAAAGTGAAGAAAATGGACTGAAACAGGGAACTACCTGAACTTGTCATTTTCCGTTGTGTGCCCTAATGAATATGACCCAGGTAATACAATACTACTGTAATGCCCCTTGGCCCAGGGGTAAGTTCACCTGTAGGAGTAGATGGGCTTGGGGAAAGACTTGGGCTGTAGGTCCTGGTTTTGTGGAGCCAAGCGCGGCTGTGTGAACAGGCTCTGGTTGTTGAAGGAGACATTGCTATAGAGCCCAGCAGGAGAACACTGAGAGAAAATGAGAGAACAATCTAGAATATTTGTATTGTGTATTATTTTCACCTTATAATTTTTTTGTTGTTGTTTTAATTAATGCCATCTAAACATCAAACCCTTAATCAGCAGTAGGCCGGAAACGAATAGAGTAATCTCTAACACTACATTATACCCATGTAGTAACGCTGTAATTACTCTAGTAACAATACTATATTAATAGGTTGTTACATTGTCATTTAGTTATACACTGTTTGCTCTTATAACTGGATAGTAACACTAAATACTCTAACAATACTATATAATTATATGTAACAATTAATGTCTAATTCACAAACTGTATCCACAGCCCAGTTGTAGTGATGACGTAGTTACCTGCTGGCTAGCCTGGGTCAGAGTGAACACTTGTTGGGCTGTAGGTTGGTAGACAGAGGCAGGGCATTGGTACCCCGGGGAGGGCTGCCCATTCATGGAGAATGGAGACATCTGTGGAATAGACCCAGGGCAAGTTTAGTATATTTACTATATGATTTACTTTAGCTGGGAGTATAAACATTGATTAATAAAACAGTTTGGATAAATGATTTTTTTTAAATTAATGTCAGGATGCATAACTTACATTTCCGCTGTGGGCGGTGATGACGTTAATTCCCAGGGGGCTGTGCTGCATGTTGCTCTGTAGGTGGATCATGGCTCCCTGTCCCCCTGTCATGGTCATGTTGTTCAGCTGAGCTGTGAGGAAGGAAGCAGTACAAAATCCAGGTCAGTCTCCAATCTCCAATACTTTAGAAATGCATCCTTCCTTCCTCACTTCCTCGAGGTAAGCACAAGTGATTGGATAGGGCTGAGCAAGGCTACCACGCTATTACTTTCAACAATCCAACCATTCGGATATATGATTGGGCTTCAAGGAAGATAAGAAGGAAGGATGCATTTGTAAAGCATTAAAACAGGGCCCATGGCCCTATCAAGTATCAGCATAGGCCCAGGTCTGTATCCCCTTATACTGTACTTTAATAATTATATTGGTCTTGCCAGTCTCATTAGCCAGGTTGGCATTTATGTTTCCAACTGTAATAAAACTTTGGTCAATTTGTCCTCCTCAACATCAGAGCCCAGCAGCACTCCTGAACTATCCAATCAGAGCGTGTGTGTGGATTTGAAATGGTGCAGCCTCCCCCAATTGGTGTGTGTGTGTCTGTGTGTGCGTGTGTGTGTCTCACCTGTCTGCTGTTCCAGCAGGTTGCCCCCCTGCCCCTGGGAAGGCCCGTTGAAGTCTCCTCCGCCACCACCATGACCATCGGCCATCTGCTGCAGCCGGGGAACGTCTACAGATGTGAGCCAAGACAGAGACTGAAGTTCCCCAGGGAGATCCTCTCGAAGCTGGGAGGGGTCTGTGGTCAGAAGTCTTCAGGGACGGGACACAAGCAACACAACCACTCAGATACACAGCCTAGCATACAACTGTAGGTTATATCCAGACCTGGGTTCAAATACTAGTTGAAATCATTGTTGCCATGGAAGCAATAAAAAAAATAAAAAAAAGTTCAAACCCCAAAACAAATGTGTAAGTACCCGCTTTATAAATAGTATTCGAACCCAGGTCTGGTTATATCTAAGGCAAATATACAGGACACAGACTGAACAGATATTTATTCCATTAAACCTATAGTAATACATTCAACATTGGAGTGGGAGAAGTGAAAATGAATCATAATCCAGGAGTATTATCTTATCTGGGATTTACCACAAGTAGATTATAGACAGCTTTTTGATTAGCTAATTACTGTAATAGTAACATTATGGATAAAAAGCCAACATTCTCAGCATTATTAATCCCTCTTCAGTAACTTGCTTGTGACCTTCCTCATCAACAATTTTAATGGTCTCATCTACTTCCTGAGTTTTGGGAAATACAAATAAAAAAATACAAAAGTGATCACTAGATTTGCAACATAACCACCACCTAATGAGGATTTAGTCTTGTCTACAATTAATTCCCATACCTGCGTACAATATTGGTTAAGATTTACTGCTTAATTTCTGCTTAATCAGGGCATGGGATGCCAATCAGCTTTTGCTCATTATTTATGTTAATACAGGAGGGCTCTGCGGGGAGAAAAGAGAAGAATCCTCTTGAATCCTCTCCAGTCGTCTCTGCACACACTTACTGTAGAATACTTCAGTAATTGGGGTCGCTATGACAACACTCACTATTCAGTTACTTTGTGGGTCTGGACACTGTAGGATCCCCCGCTCCCCACCCCATCCCAACTGCAAACAAAATCACCCCTACATCAGGTGACTACAATCTCCCTCTACCCATTGGCTGAATCATAAGTAAACAGCGCATGAGATCATTTGAAAATATGGGAGAGCGGCACATGTCGCTCTGCAACAGTTGGCCTTGTCTATTGAAAAATGATCACCTATTGTGTCCCAAACGACAAATCTGTCCGGTGGCACGTGGCTCTATTGTTTCCCCCCAGACCCTTCCTTGATTGTCTCTGCCGTTTTTTTTTTTTTTTTACCAGCCCTTGCATTAATCTGTTGGAATGACAGCCCTCATACAAGAGGGACAAATAGGATGCCATCTGCTTCCCTGTCCCTTTCCACCCTCTCCCCTCACACTATCCCCCCTCCCTCCACCCAGAAGGGCAGTAGACAGGGCCCTAGGGGCCTGGGGGGAGGAGGGTGGGGTTGTTGGAGGTCAGGCCACACTGCTCACTCAGCCTGTCACCTGAATAAATTACATAATTTCACCCAGAGCTTTGCCTTGGCACAAGGTTTTGGACACCTTGACTGCATGTGCTAGTAAAGGCTTGTGAATAACCGTCCCTTTCAAAGCAGAGTGACAGATGCTCCTGTGAAACTATACACCACAGACAACACCACAGACAACACCAGAGACACCTATTTCTACTTGAGATTTGTAGTATGAGCTCCTCATACCCCCCAAAAAAGACACATGCACACGTGCCTACTTACACGCACACACACACACACACACACACACACACACACACACACACACACACACACACGCGCGCTCGCGCTCTCTCTCTCTCTCTTAAAAACACACACACACACAAAAAACTAAAAATATTTGCCTCACCAGCAGCAACCCTGAGTTAAGGCTAAATCCAAATAGGTAAAACACATTTTAGAGAGCACTAGTTCCAATGGAAGCATATACCAACAAGATTACTATTTTGGTCTTCAGGGATGTTAAACTCAATACAACCTAACATGATTTGCCACTTACCTTGGCTGTAGTCGGATAACCAAGACAGTTTTGGGGATATGTATTTTGTTTATTTTACTTAGGTATTTGATAGTCATTGTGTTTTGTCAGTATTAACATAGGGCCCCATACATTCTGAAATATGTCTAAAACACCTTACAAACAGACCAATCCAACTCATATTACAGTAGTATCCTTTCCGGAAGGACATGTCTGAACTTTATTGGGGTTCAAACCACTTTTGAATGTTGTCATTGTGTTGCATCAAATCAAAATCTGCAAGTGGATTAGGCCTATAACATGATAACGCAACTTTTCAAAAATCTAATGCAGACACGACCTTCAGAAAGGGTACATTTGTAATATAGGATTTGGGTGTTTGTATGGTGTGTTGGGCACATTTTCTAAATGAATGAGGAATTGACTACAACCAAGGTACAAAAATCATGTTAGGTTGTATTTGAGTAGAACATGAACATCCCTTTAACGATTAGTGGGATTTGATCAAAACATTTAAACACGATTGGAAACAGTCATAGCCTATATAACACATATTTTATATGTAAAACTCATGAGAACACATTCTTCATGCTTATTCATGCATCTCTAGGCCTAGGCCAATCACCATAAATATTTGTACAGCAATTAGGATGCCCCTCCCCTTTACACCCCCCACTTAACCCACAATAAAGAGCATGTTCAACGAGGCATGGCATGTTCATCTATAGTGTCCCCCGTCTAGCACAAGTCGCACCAGCTTTCCCAGAGGTTCAATACTACACAGACCCCACTCCCACCTCCTTCTAATTGAGAGCCACTTCTCCTCGCTAGTGACCCGGAGAGCCCCATCTCCCCCTTGGAGCCAGCGGGCCAAGAGGCTCAGTCTCACTGTGTGCCGGCAGCGGGAGTGTAAACAGAGCTGATGGTTTCTGACAGATCAATTCAGACAAAATCATTTATTCTTTCTGTTTTTTCCTTCCCCTTTTTCATACACCCCCTCCCTTCACTGAAAGGGCTGTCCGTCTACCGTTGGATTAAAAATACAGTATAGGGAGATTTTGGAAAACATATCTTGGAGTTGTCTTTATACACCTTATGGAACAGCGGGGACTGTGAAGCAACACAAACATAGACACATGCACACAAACACACGATAACATACGCACTTTACACACATGTACACATGGATTTTGTGTTATAGATATGTGGTAGTAGAGTAGAGGCCTGAGGGCACACACTTAATATGTTGTGAAATATGTTATGAATTATTGTAATGTTTTTAAAATGTATAACTGCCTTAATTGTGTTGGACCCCAGGAAGAGTAGTTGCTGCCTTGGCAGCAGCTAATGGGGATCCATAATAAATACAAATACAAATATCTGAACATTTTGAATCATATTTTCATATTTTTTGTTAAGTGTAGCCAACTTTACAAAGATACAACATTGATCAAAAACCTTATATCATTACAATTCACAAATCCAGTCTTACCTGTAGTCTTGTGGAGAGGGATGATGACCTAAATGTTCTAGAATTCCTGACATCCTGGACGTAATTCCACTTTCTATCATTTCCTGGGATATTTGATAATGCTGCAACAAGGAAAAAGTGCTTCTGCATAAGACATCTAGCCGTCAATACTTAATGTAATTTAGGCCTAGACCTATTTCTGTTTTAAAAACTGACATAACAATTTGAATTCCTTTTAGTTTCCTTGTTTTGTCTACTCATTATATAGGCTATTATACTGACCTTTAGATAAATAAAATATTAACACATCAAACAGACTACTTATGGAGGAAAATAAGCTTATTATATATATTTCTTAATCATATAAGCTACAATGAATGTGCTCTAAAAACAATCTGAATCTGATTAGGACCAGTTAATAACAATACTGATATAAGCTAATGACAATCATATCCGCTATCATGGCAAAAACATAACAATTGCAAATTAAAATAGACAACAAACAATACTTTTGTGATTTTTTTTATACACAAGTTACAGGTGTATTCTCAGTTCACATATGTAGGCCTATGCTTCAAATAAATATAACATTGACGTTTTACAATATAGAAAACAAAAATGATTGCTTTTCTATTTATTTTGCCGTTTTTTAAAAACGACTTGCTGTGGAATCCCAAAATATGGCAGCGTTTCCCACTCTTACTGAAAATGACTTAAAAACGAAACGTCTTCTAATTTAAATAATCCCCTCTCACTGAAAGTCTCAAAACTATTTGCTGACATTCATCCTTGTAATACCGAAAAAAGTAAAGTCTTACCTGTTTAGGATAATCTGCAGAAAAATGTAGTTGTTGACGAGCCCGTGTAGCCTACTGTGTTTTCACTGTGCTGCACTTGTTTCCCAAAAACCGTTTTTAAATTTCCCTCTCTGGAGCTGTCCAGCAGACTGTCATGCGCAATAGGCCTACCTACCTCAACCTAGCCTCTTGTTGCTCAAGGGGCAGGATCCCAAGGGTTTGACAGCTGCTGCCAATGTAACAATTTGTAATTGACTTCCGTGGAAGACAGTACACCATCCGAATGGACAAAAAAAATTTGCAGTCTGTTCGCACTATTGCATTTAGACCTAGGCTAGTACTTCCTTTAATAACTGTGATTGTGCAGTTTCTGGATAAACGACCCTGAATTTGAGAAAGGATGGTTTCAAAACAATAAACCACACTATAGCTGCAGCCACTCAGTCTCTATCCAATATTGTTGACAATTGACATTGTACGGAGACATATGGTAGCCTACTTGTGTGGTACTTTTTGTTAGTCAGCTAAAATAAATTGTTTGGTCATGATCGAGGCGCAGGTGCGCTTTTGATGCGTCGCTATAGCCTACAATACACAACACAAATGCATCACTTTGCCCAGTCTTAATTGGAAATCAGCGCTAGATAGAAAAAAAAACAATGATGTAAATAAAAAACAAATGTGAAAAAATAAGAGGAATAACTGATTAAGAAAAATGTAGTCCTATAGCATATTTGTACCCTATACAATTTCCCTTCGATATAATGTCCAGTCCTCCCAAGTTCCAGTTTTCAAGTATTCCAACAATAGTCGTTATTACAGACCTTCGACTGGTGGTGTCTATCGCTACTTGTGAGCGTCTGAAACTGAATGAATGTGAATTAAAAGGCGAGTGCTTGCAGACAATTTGTTTCCCCGCCGCTGCACCCGCGTCTTTTCTCCGCACAACAGCGGGAAAAATAGGCTGGGAGGCGCGCAGGGGAGGTAAAGGGAGCCAAGGAAACAACAGGGCTGCAAAGTTGACACTTGTCAGAAGAGATTTGAGTTGGTGATGTCAACCTGTGTTATGGGACACAGTATTTCGACTTCAGTCTTAGCCTACTTTAGGTGACAATAAAAATTGGAAGCAATAGGCTCTTATGGGCTAAACTGCTAAGGACAACTACTTAGGAAAGGTGGACAAGTTTTCTATTTCACTGTTATTTTGGTGGGTTTACCAACTTTACAATATGTTGTCCACGTTCACATACACAACTAGAATTTGAGAGACCTATAAGAGTAAAATTCACAACCGGAAATTAACACAAATTCCTCTAAGCCTGTGGGGATAGAGCCAATGAACGCAGTGTCAACCCTTGGGACACCACAGATGGTAAATCACGCTGTCGCAATGGACACAATCAATGATTACATGCATGAACGTAACGGACAAAATAAGAGCTTCCCCAAAGATCCAGAAAATCGAGGTCCTAGAGCCCGTGGGGTTACACTGTATTATTCACAGGGCTCTACTTAGATTATTTGCCGAGGGACCACAATCCCCTTCACTGCTTCAAGCATATCTAGTTTTTTTTATTTTTATAGTCTGACCATTCTATTGTCTTCCTATAGCTCTTGCATAAATATGTAACAATGTTATCTCTACAGACTTTTTTATATTATTATGTTAAGAGAGAGGAAAAAATATGTGGAGAGAAATTATTTTGAGATACATAATTTGAGAAAGTGAAAAAATATGTTGAGCAAGAGAAAGATGTAAATGTAACAAAACATTTACAGCTCTGCTTGTGTGTTTACAGGCTGATGTCATTTTGACTGTGACATTGCTCTCTCAATGGATTTCAGAAGTGGTTACATTAGTTACATTATACTGATTAAGGATTGGAGTCTGTGACATACAGTACAGCCAAGGCAATCAACCAGGGCCCATATTCATAAAGTATCTCAGAGCAGGAGTGCGTAGACAGGGGGGACCTTATCCTAGATCAGCACTCCTAGTCTTAGATGCTTTAAGAACACGGACCCAGATCACTAGATCCCCCTACACAAGTAAAGTCACCACTGTCTGCATCAGAAAAGGATGTCCCAGTAAACGACTGCCTGTTCAGAGAATACAGTGATGACATTCTCTCTTGTGCCTTTGCTCAGGAATAATGGGGAAACAGTGGGATTTGACCACTGAACCACGGTTCCATCAACACATATTGAAGTTTACACATTTGTTGTAATGGAGATGTTTTTGGAGTATCTACAAATCCTGGACACTACAGTAGGTCGACATCAGTGTCTGCTCTGACCATTGAAGATGAAAAAATAGGTGGTTGACCAGACATCTCTAGACTCTATCAGTACACCCAATTAGACATTGCAAGATGCTATTATGACATTATACTCATATTTATACTCAATTATGAAAAAGACAAAAACACTAAAAAGAGTTACAAAAAGTGACTGCCGCTAGTCCATCCATTCTGTTGTTCTAAAATGGTCTAGAGAGAGCGAAGATGGACTACTTCAGGACTGGCAATGAAGTTGTAACGGTGTAGGGTCAGGAGGACACTAAAAAAGCGCCATTATGTATTTACTTTGAACCAGTCAGCTCTCAATATGCTCCAACACAGGCAGCTAGCTGTTAGCATCAGACAGAGAGGGAGCAGTGAAAGAGGTTGAACTGCAGGGGGGACTCTCTCGGACAGGCTTGATCTAAATTCTCTCTTACAGATTCAATCCCTCCTCTTCTATTTGACATGGCAGATGATGACAGTGCTCTGAGAGACTGCTGCATTGACCTAACATCTAAAAGTTGCTTCAGTTCCTCTGTCACAATGCTATTGTATTGGGAGATCACACACCCTCCATCTTTCAGCTTTAGCGAGATCAATGCGGTTGACCTTTGTGTGACCCGGGTCAAGACCAATCATGTGTGTTCTTTGGGGAGGACGGCCCTTTTCATAGGCTTAGAGCAGTGTTTCTTCATCCTGGTCCTGGGGACCCAAAGGCTTGCACATTGTAGTTTTTGCCATAGCGCTACACAGCTGATTGAAATGATCAATTGATCATCCAGTTTTGATGATTTGAATTAGGTGTGTAGTGCTAGAGCAAAAACATACATGTGCACTCCATTGGGTTCTCAGAACCAGGATTAACAAACACTGGCTAAGCAGTGTTTCTCAAACCTCTTCTCAGGGACCCCAATAGGTTTCACAATTTTGTTGTAGCACTGAACTAGCTCACCTGATTGACCTCATCAAGGGCTTGATGATTAGTTGACATGTTGAATCAGGTGTGCTAGCTCTGGAATAGATCAAATACATGGAACGGCTGGGATCCACGAGGAGAGGTTGGAGAACCACTGGCTTAGAGGGTAAGATGGAGAAAAAGTATCCTTCTCATTCACCAGTGATGCAATGCCAGGGTTGTGAGTGCGATTCCCATGTGGTCCAGTACGAGAACGTATGCACTCACTACTGTCATTCGCTCTTTATAAGAGCATCTGCTAAATTACTCAAATGACCAGGGCCCATTGGGCATAGTGCAATGGCCATAGTGCAAGGTCGACCAAGTTGGGAATAACTTTTGGTCACTTTTTCACCCTTATCCTTTGTGCCTTCCTGTTTCTCTGCATTGTGGATCTTTAAGTGGTGTAAAGGATATCATCACAGCTGAGCTGTATTCAGTGCTGTATAGTCAGGTTGTTCATACTAGCAAAGCGCATGCCCCGCCCACCTAAGGACCTGTATTTTTCAGTCAACTATTTCCTGTGTTTGAGGGGTGAAAAATCCACTTGTCAAGTGGCGTGTTTTCATAGATGCCAAGGGAAGCCAGGCTTCCCCCAAAAATGGACCAATAAAATAAAAACATAAAATAATTTAGTCTCTGTGTTTCATCATTTTCCTTCACTTCACAAGAGGCTGAATGTATCTCACACGAGAATGCATCCGAGCGATCGAAACAGCACCCCTCTGTCTCTCTAGATGTAGGCCATCTATCTGATGCTGTCTGGTCCAAACGAGTATGACATTGTTGCCGCCCGTAGCACTGAAGACAAGGGAAGCCAGCGAGCATCTGGCATCCCTTGACAAAAAAGTATAAAAAATTAGCCAATCAGCTTTGAGCTAAACTGAGCGAGCTCAACTGTTAATGGTCCTGGCGCACCAAAAAAAGTGTCACGGGAAGCCAGCTTGGATTTGGCATCACTCCTATCAAATCCCATTGAGATCATACCTCATTGACAGAAAAACTTGAATTGTTGCATCTCAGGTGGATAGCTAGCCAGCTAGCTAAAATTGGCCCTTTCCTAAATT